GTGTGTGTGTGTGTGTGTGTGTGTGTGTGTGTCTGTGTGGGGGCTTTCTTGTTTGGTGGTGTGCGAGTCATGCGCGGCGCGGGCCGGCGCGACGCTCTCTATGAGGCATATGGCGGCAATTTTTGCACACTTGGTCGACAATTACCAAAGTTTAATACGTTCAGTTCTCATTTCGATTTCCAGACGTGCGATCGTGCGTACGCTAGATCGCTTGTCGCACGCCTCGGTCGATCGGTATCTGTGGCGGTAGCTCGGTCGATTGTTCGGTGGCGCTTAAACAGAGATCGATAAAAACAAACGCGTATTAGAAAGCATATCCTATATGCCCAGGCTCGTGATATCCTGACATTTTATTGTGTGTGTGAATGTGTGCCCGCAGTGCACCTAAATTTGTTCGCTATTCGAAATGTAATATGAAAAGCTAAAGACTTAAAGACTTCAACGATGTCCTTGTAGTGTTGATTGGCAACAGCAGCTGTGACTTATTTATCCGCTCACTTGCGCCTTCTTGTTGCATTCAGAGATACATAAAAGCCGATTTTGTTTCATTTATTTGTCCTCTTTTATTTAGTTGGCCATGCCAAATTATGTATTCATCCTTTTGCTTACTTCAACTCTTTATTGAGACAAAACGTCGAACGGCACACATTGGGGCTAAAGTGGTTTCGCATGTTTGTTATTTAATAAATAAAAATTATATGAGCGGCGCTTTATTGCAATTATTTTTTGTCGCTTGAAGTGTGTTTGATGTGAAAATATTTATATGAGCTTTTTGCTTTTAGCTATTAATAGTAAGCAGTGCTAAGCCTTACTTGTATACTTATACTCGTAGATCTTAATTTATGACTTGAACAAACTGGCCAACTACCATTAGGAGCTATGTAATTGAGTTTGTCCATCTATTTCGATTTCGAATGGTTTCATTGACAAACCCGCCTCTGATTGCTTCTTTCCATTTTAAAACGATTTAAGAGTTTCCAAATACATACAAATGTGCTCCACATATGTACTCGCACTAGCAAGAAATTTGACATTAGTCGATCATAAGAAAACGCACATAAAGCACATAAAACAATATGTTAATGTATCAAAATAATTTATTTTCTTAATGGCTGCTTAAGTAACAAATTAAAAATCTTTTAAAATGTTAAAGGTAGCCAAATAGTGTGCGTAAATATTCCTTAATGGCCAATTAAATAAAATGAGTATTGTCCAAGTTAAAACAAACAGTAACGTAAGTAGCGTCTGAAATTATTTAGTGGAGCCATTTAAAATATCCTAGTAGTTAGTAAATAAATAAATTAGTTGTCCTTAGTCCTTTTTAGTCAATTTCTATACATTGCAAGATTCGCTAAAAAACGATATTTTAGAAGTGTCAAAAAAATATTTCCTTTATATGGACTTCAATTAATGATCCAAAAAATGATTTCATCAAGATGCTAAATGCTTAAATGAAGAACACACACTGAAAATGAATAATTATAATTTTTTTATAACACCAAAAAGGAGGAATAGCATCTGACAGGACGAGTCGATTTAGGCATGACCGTTTGTCTCATGTAAAGGAAGTTTTTGTCATAAATGTAATTTCTGCCCATTCTCTGCCGGCTGTTGTTGTTGTTTTGATTCGGGTGCGTGATGTATTCAGGCACATATGTGAATGTATGAAAAGAGTTTTTAATAATTGTATTATTTTTTGGGTAAAAAGGATCTATTAGCTTTGTGCAGAGTATGTAACAAGAGGATGGAAGAATATTCGACCCCATAAAGTTTATATATTCTTACTCAGTATGACAAGACAATTTGATCTAAATGTGTCCATCTGCATGTCCGTCCGTCTGCCTGGATGAACGCCGGGAGTTTGGAATTGACTGAGCCCACATGGTCGAACTTGGTATGTAGACTCCCCTAGTCCCTAGGGAACACGAGTTTAATTCGTTTTGTGATACCCACTCCCCCGCTCCAGAATTTCGAAAGATTCATAAATTGCATCTAAAACAAGAAAAGTTATTAGCGAAACAATTTCACTCCAGTACTATGCCCACAAACTGCAGGAGGGGATTCGTTCTACTTCCTTTTGCTTCTGCTAGTAGAAGCTTGTTGTACAAAGTGGAACATAAATTGTACAGGAATAATGCGTAGATTTTTAACTTTGAGGCTACAGTGAGAACTCTGAATTGGTACAGATTAGTGAAAAAAAAATGGGAATTATCAAGAATAATAGTTTAATACTATATATTTATAGGAAATTCCAACTAACTGGAGCACTTAGAAGATGAAACTTGATAACCCCTAAGGTCTTATCCGCGACGCACACTATTTCGTCTCAACGGTTTATTTAAGAATTCATCTAAGCGGAATTCTCGGTTATTTCTCTATATATTTATAGGAAATTCCAACGAACTGGAAGACTTAGAAGATTAAACTTGATAACCCCTAATCTTAAAGGTATATTCTATATAAAATATAGTTCTTTTTCTCCATGTTCAATCTGTCCGAAATCTCTTCATTTGTGTTTGTACTGTTATAAATATTTGAATACGAAATGTATTCAAGAATTCATCTAAGCGGAATTCTCGAATATTTCTCTACACCTCACGCCTCACCTTCCTTAAACGACATCCCCCAGCCTTTATACTGATAGCTGTCGTGTAAGTGCCTTTTCACTTTTTATTATAATAAAATAACGATTTACATATTTATGCGTATACAAAATATAAGTATTTGCACGGGCTGCTGAACGACTTTGCGACGGCAGGCACGAAAATACTGTGCAAGCCTTTAAATTATTCAAATGCAAAAAGCCAGAAATTCCTGCCAAACTTGTAGGAAGGCGACCATAGTTGCCCCAGTCCCAGTCACAGCCAATGGCTATATTCACTGACAATTTTTCGGTAGACAAGTCATAAATATGTCAGGCAGCTGTGAGATTTTCGTATGCAGTATCAGCCGTGGGCGTTGACATGAATCGTAATAATTATTTTAGAATACTCGAACATATTTACATGGGTTTCTGCATAGGAAAATTGGTAACAGAGAGCGGATTGATGAGTGGGCTGGAATCCAAGTATAATTGTCTGATGTGTTCTCTAAGGCACAACCAATTGAACACATTAAGGCTTTGGACACAGTTTCGGCTACAGCTGAACTTACAATTTAGTACACTTTCGGGTAGTATAGGTAGTGAGTGGTGGCTGCTCCAGTGGGCACCATTAGTCGGGCAGAACGGATTGCACTATGGCGTTAAAATGATCCAATTTACGACTTTGGCACTTGTTGCAAATAGTGTTTTTTTATTTCTTGTTGTTAATTAGCGAAAAGCCAAAGCATAACGGCCCTAAAATCAAAGCAAGCGACACTCTTTTGCTTTTATTTTTATTTTCATCTTTTATTATATAATAAACTGTGCATACGAGCGCCGCTAATTGTTACTTGTTGTGTGTCTGTCTGTCTGTGTGTTTGTCCTGCTGTCCCTTTATTTTAACATATTTTTCGTGACTTTTCAAACAAGCTGATTCCACTCCAGTTTTGTGGCTTAAAGCACTTGGCTGCATCCGCAGACGTCTCAAGTTGCTTTCGACCACTGCACATGGAAATGCTGATGCTGATGCAGAGGCGTCAGGTGTCGTGTCTTGACAAGTTTTCCCTACACATATATCTTCCTGCTATAACTTTCGGCGTTGTAGCTGTTGCACATACCAGTAGTTGAGTGCTTTGTGCCATATATTTCTTTATCGGCACTACTTACCCTATTACAAAATATCTTATGAGTGCACATGCTTTTGTTATTCATTTATTTATTTTTTTTGCTTCAGCACGTCATATGCATTTCAATTCATCTCCATAAGCTTACACTGCGGAGCTCTTACGATTTTTTAAGGGCAGTATGACATGTTTTTTGTTTACCCATTTTCAGTTTGATTTAGACCATTATGAAAGTCTGCTCGGTGTTTGTCCGAACGCTTCTGTGTTTCTTTCTATAAATATCAAGCTATACATTCTTAAATCCAAAGATAGTTAATTCCTAGTGAAATGTCTACCGCATCATTTAATGTGTCATTTGGACAGATACTTACAATAAATACAAGTATTATATCCTATGTAAATTAAATGATACAATTATTCTATGACTTATAATATAACTTATCGCCTGCCTGCTTCATATGTACATTGAGGTACTATTTCAATTGCATAAATTTGTATCGGATTGGTGTCTTCTATGGGGTGTGCAATACGGACTCGAAGCGAAACAGACCTCCTACAGTTATTGCGCTTGTAGTTCAAATGAATAGTCAGGGTAAAAATTATTATATGGAAATATGTAACTGAGTGCCTCCAATCTTGAAACTTTTGGCCTTACATAGCATTAGAAACTAGTATTATTGCGTTGGAACCGATTTGGATCAAAATAAACTGGTGTAGAAAGATTAATTATTTCCAATTCACGGTGTAGACCAAAAAATCCTTCTTTGGAATTGTCTTACTTTACTTAAATCGCCTTAATCGTGTAAAAACGGTGTCCCCGAAGTGGTCTTACTAACCTATAAGGAGCCAGCAGCCCCACGTGGTTAAATCAGACGAATTCGGTGACTGTGGAACGAAATGCGTTTCGTCGTTGGCCAAGTGGTCGCGAAGTTGTCATGATGCAGTGTTTTTAAAACCAATCAAGATTTGACTTTTAAGATTTACTAAATTTACTGTTAGCTGATCCATTAGAAACACCATAACCAATAGCATTAGCAGTTGCCAATCGACGATTTTGTAGCACTAATATTTTGATTTGCTTAACGTATTTTTCATCAGTTAATGCTTTTATACGATTCGGTTGTGGTTCGTCTCCAACGGCAGAGTGCTGCCAACATAAAACTAAAAAGATTTTGTCCGAAAAACCCGCTCCTACATGTGCATATATCGACAGTAGTTTATTTTTTATAAGTATAACAAGACTTGTCAATAGTGCCATGTCCGCCCGTCTGTATAAATGCAAATATCTTGGAAAGTATGAGACCTTGTGTTATTATTATTATTTTTTTCATACTATATATGCGATTTCTCCAAAGGTCCTGTAGTTCTTGGAACTGTTTGCTTTAATTTCTCAATTACAACTGGTTAGTGTCCTCTGCCACGCCTCCTTCTGTGTGTAACATATACTAAATTAGTATACCTTCTATATTTCATGTACAGGTTATAACATTAAATAACATTTTAATTTGAACATGTGTACGTACTTAAAATGTTTGCAAATAATCTGATTTAAATGGCAAAAATCCCCAATTACGTCATGATTTGTGCGCAAAAATTTTATTTAATCTGAAAGATGTGAGCCATGCGTATTTTTCCGTATTTTAAAACACGCAGCTTTTTAATTTTTTTAACAACAAATCTAACATGACATAATAATATGCAGGTCGCTCATTTTCCAACTCACCCAATGCGATTTATTTATGTCTTCCATCTGAAATTTGTTTACCGCGGTCAGTGACTAAGCAAAGCTATGCGAGTATTATCAATACATTTGCATCATTATGAAATTGTTGATTATGTGTTTTTGTTAGCACAAGTACAAAAGCACTTCTTTTTCTATTTATTTTAATTTCTATTGAACTGTTTTTACACATTTTTGACAATATACACACTTGTTTTGTTCTTAAAAATACAAGTTTAAAAATAGTTTTAGATTATTGTTTGGACTTGACACGTTTCGTATGAAAGAAAACAAGTAGAGCGTCGACTCTGGCAGTTATTCTATCTGTCCTAACTTAAGCTATAATATCACTTTTAGTTAGCACTTTTAATTGTGCTAGTAAGTCTTGCCCGCCTTGGTGGGCTACGATTTTTTCTCTGCAATTATGTATATAATTATTTACTGTGTATGTTCATATTGTGTATTTTAGATAGTGATATTCAAGGCAAGTTATTTCTAGAATTAAAAGCTGTACAAAGATATTTAGTCAACATATATATAACTGCATAACATATAAATGAACATACCAGCATATATACATGTATGTATGAACATTCATAAGAAGGTGCATGTACATACACTCTTATATTTATTTCTTCTATGCTTTGAAAAAAATTTCAAAAAACATACTACTCAGTTTTTTATAAGTATATTCTTTCTCAGAGTAAATCAACCAATTTAAAGTCAATCGCGGAATTCTCATTTTTCAAAACCGCTTCACGTATCTAGATAAAAACTTGAGCTTCAACTTGAATTTCAGCTTCGTAACTCTTGTTGCGCTTGATTGCACTTAGCTTTTTGTGCCCCAATTTTTCCACGGAAAACCCTCAATATTTGCGGTCCAAGGTGTAAGATTTGAAATTCAAAAAACCAAGTATACAGTTAATTTATATTTTTTTGCCTAAAAAATGTGGATGAAGGCTTTAAATAATACTCGTTAGCCCTTAGGGTACCACAGATATTTGTTTAACTTACGCGTGGAAGGAAGATTGGTAGATTCTTTAAAGGGGACATTGAAATCATGTACAAGTATACTACAAGTATACACATTAATTTTATATGAAGAGTCCATTTTTCAATATTCTTTTTAATTCGCGATGGTAAAATTGTTTTTATAAAATTGTACGGCACTGTTTATACATACATTCAGATTTATAAAGAATATATGTAACGTGCATACGAATAAAAATTTTAAGTAGGACGTTGCGCTTTACATTTTCTTTTTGACAAGTGCTGTCAAAATTGTTCGTCAACGTGCCAATTATCTTCTTAAAATATTACAAGCATTCTTACAAAAAGAACAGCTGAAACAAATTGTCGCCCATGTTTCGAATTGTTTCGAGGTTTACTTTTTCAAGTGGACCTTAATATTTATTTATTTTGTGTATAAAGACGCAGAAGCCAGTACTAGTATATTAGATACGTATGTATATTTGTTTATGGAAACGATGCTGAAGATAGCGTAGGTTTTTTTAACAATCTCGTACATTTCCTGATCGAACATATGTAATGCGCGCAATTTAAATAGATCTATGCATTTTTTTTGCTTAATCATTTTTATCTAAGTAGTTTTTAAATGATCGGGGTCTTGTTTTCTATTTTCAACAGTTAGCAAACAAATAATTAAAGCCTTCACTACACTTTTTGGGTTCTAAAATGGTGCTATACGAACTGTAGTACTACTATACTGCAAATGTACCTACCACAATCTGAAGAAATATCACTTACATTACTTACACCTCAAACTCTGACTTAAAATTTGCAATACCATTGGGTTAAAAATTAGGGAAATATTCATGTAACCGTTATGAAATAGTTTAAAGTCGAATTCTTCATTTTTGAAAAGATCTTAGGAAGTACAAGAGCGAAAATGACCAACCTTGGTATCCAAGTTCCTGCCCGCAGCTCTTTTTGTTGTTGCTGCTTTTACTCAACTCTGTTCTGCACGCATACACGCACATAGGCACGCATAGAGACAATCCCGATGTAAATGGATGCTGAAACAATACATAAACATATTTCTCTATAGGTTGATATTATTATATAAATGTAAACAGGCGAAACATGGCGGACAAGCCCGACAGTGAAATTTGTACCCTGTACCCAGACAAACATTTAGCACTGAGTTCTATGCGCCCCTAGCAGAACCAAAAAGAAGTTTTGGGCATAGAAGTGGAGTGAAATTGGTTCGCAAATAACTTTTCTTAGAATTGACCGATTTGGTGGATGCTTTTGTAATGTGGACAATTCTGTAGCGGGGAGAACTTGAAAAAAAAGAACTCGTGTTGCCTAGGGGAGCATCTACCAAGTTTGGTTAATGTACACTCAGAGGTTTTCGAAATCCAAGGGTTCATTCAGTCGGATCGATTTCTCTCGTCATGCTGATTAAGAATATATATGCATTATGGGGTCGCAGATACTTCCTTCTGCCTGTTACATATTTTACAAACCTAATATACCATTTTTTCCCTGAGTTGGGCCTGCTAACCCCAGCTTTCCATTCGTGGTTTTTATTGGGTCACATTTAGTTTTTTAGAAGTTATTTACCCAGTCACATTCATATATGTTATGTGTATATGATGTATAAAACAAGTAGAGAAGCTAAAGTCGGGTGACCCGACTTTGAAATACTCTGTACATATGTGTAGAATAATTATGCGTGTTATAGTCTCTGAAATCCAGGTGTTCACACGGACGGACAGACAGACAGACATAGATCGACTCGTCTTGTCATGCAGGTCAAGAATATATATACTTTATGGGGTCTGCCACGCCTCCTTCTGCCTGTTAAATGTTTCAGCTCGCGCAAACGTAATATATCTAATATTGTAATATTGTACATTTCATGTACAGAGTATAAATATATCTATATACGAGTATATATATATCTATATGTATGTATGTGTGATCTTTTATTGTTATATTTAAAATTGTACAATATTATAGTCTGACGGCGAGCCGCCTTTTATTTAATTGTTGCCTTGTTGTTTCATTGGCAACATCTGTTTTTCCAGAATTTTTTTGTTTTTGGTGCAAAACCGTCGCTTTGAACGTCGGGTGATAATTTTTGTTGACATTTCAGTTGAAGTTGTTCTTATGGTGTCTGTTTCGAGCTTTTCCGTGTCTACAATACGCGTGTTAGCTACGTGGCCGATTGCATTTAAATGGATTTTAAGCCTCCGAATATAGAATTACTATATGATGCCTTAAGACGTATCAGTTGGGCAATCATGAATTCACAGCTGTTGTACAATCAAAGAAGTTTTTGTTTGTTTTTGTATTTCGACCAAATGTTGGTTAATGTAGCATTCATCGAGTGATTAAAAGCAAAATGATGCTGCAATGCGTTATGAAATTCATTTGTTGCGAGTTGAAAAAATTAAAAACAAATCTAACCATGTTTTTAATATTCTTCTGGATTATATGGTTTTCACAAATCATTGCCATATCAACTGTATTTATGAGGTGAGCCAGAAAAAATCTAAATCTAACTACGTAAGGCCATATTTGAAAACCGACACAAATTAAAATTTACAAACACTTTAATTATGTAAATGCAAGGCACATAAAAAGTTAGCCTTAAGATCACAATTAGGAGCTCTATTTAGTGCAATAGAAAGATTTCAAAATACAACGTGTCAGATTTGAGTGAAGGTCTATTTTACATCCAACAAAACGTTTGGCTGATCTGATCTCTAAAATTTCACATTTTCAACTTTTTCATGAGTGTTGAAGCCTCTTCCTTGCCTCCAAATATTGTCATAATTTAAAAATTAGGGCTCTAAAAATAAAAACAAACCTTCTGAATACTATAGATCAAAAGAGAATTGAATAATCTATGGATTGACCTTGAAGGTTAAGCTTGGTAAAACCTCAATGCAGTAACTTGAACTCCAGAGATGGGACAATTTAGGTTGCTTTTTTACACATTACGTCTCACTCCGAAAATAAATTGTATAATCCTGAAAGTTGAAATAAATTAAGCTTTAAAGCTACTGAATTCCTTCCATCAAAGTCTTAGTTCCTAATTGTGATTTAATTGTATTTCTTCAGTTCAAGGCACCTGAAATCAAATCAAATTATGTTTTCTTTGTAAACCATACATGTTAGGTTCTAATATACATATCTAACAAATAATGTTTCGTTTACTTTGCAGTTTCCCTGAGATCATAGCGGAGTTACCAACCGTGACGGTGACAGAGCTGCCACTGGAGCATGTGAAGAATCGCATGGATGCGGTTATTTTAGACAAGACTCAAGAAGCAGCGAGTGATCAGCCGCGGAATAAAAGTGAAGAGCAGCAGCAGATCTTCGAGAATGGCAAGGAGGCGGCGCAAAAGGGTAAGTCCCTTATTTAGGTTTTGCTTGGCATAGCGTTAAATGTTTTTTTTTCCCCCCCCGTAGATGATCAGGTACTCAAAATAAATGATCCTGGCGGAGGTATAAGTTTAGAGGCTACTTTTGGCGCAGAAGCCAATGCCACAGTTGTTGTGAACTCCACAGAATCAGCCAGTGCTGACGGCTCTTCGTCAGAAGCGAATATTAACAAAACTTTGGCAACGAATATTACCGCCGAGGAGGTGCCGATGCCGGTCTTCTCCGAGTGGGCGCAGAAGCAGATGGAGGCGGAAGCTAGTCGCGAGCAAGCCATGGAGCTGGAGCAGCAGGTGGTCAATAGCTCAACGCAACGACGCAATGCGACTGCCAGTGGAAGCGGCAAGCAGCCTACGCTTAAGCTGCGAGCGAAGAATTATGCTTCACCGGACTGTGGGGCCAAGATCATTGCCTCAAATGGAGATGCTACCAACACGGGTGCCGTCTTAAGTCACTCGAGCGATGAATACATGCTAAGCACGTGTGGCAGTCGCATCTGGTTTGTTGTGGAGCTCTGTGAGGCCATCCAAGCGCAGAAGGTGGAGCTGGCCAACTTCGAGTTATTCAGTTCGTCGCCAAAAAACTTCACGGTGGCTGTTTCAAAGCGATTTCCCACACGCGATTGGTCCAATGTAGGCCGGTTCGTGGCCGAGGATAAACGCACAGTGCAGCCTTTCGACCTGCATCCCCATCTCTTTGGCAAATTTGTCCGTGTGGATATACACTCGCATTATTCCAAGGAACACTTTTGTCCCGTATCGCTGTTTCGTGTTTTTGGCACTTCGGAATTTGAGGCTTTTGAAACGGAAATACGGCACAGTGATGAGCTGGATGATTTCTATGATGATTTCGCCACACAGGAACATGTTCAAGCGCACAAGACAGGCAGCAATAATATATTTCAAAGTGCCTCTGACGCGGTTATGCAAATGGTGAAAAAAGCTGCCGAAGTACTGGTCAAGCCCACGAAGGCTTTTCGTTGGACCAGTGAGCCCCTTGTCTGTCAAACGCCTACCTTCGGCATCTATAGTTGTGGCAGTTGCAACAGCACCGTGGTGGAACGCATCAACAGCCTGCTCTCGTGTCAATTCCAGCAGCTGCAGGTCCTGCTCGCGTTGCCTCAAATGCGTCAGCACATGCAACAGACTCGTGTGTGCAACGAAGAATTTGGGTTAGAGGCGCAGAAATTGGAGTCGGAAACTAGCGCGATGACCAAACAACAGAGTTATTATTTAAGTATGTTACCTACGGAATACATTGGTGCTATGTGCAAGTTACTGGAGGCAGAGCAGCCAGGTAAGCACGCCCCAATGCTGAAGCAGGAGCATGTGGACTCGAACATGCAAGTGGCTCAGCAGCAAACGAATCTCAATGTACCGGAGCGAAACCTCAGTGAATCGTCTCCTGAGGTGCAAGTGCCTGTGAAGTCGCAGGAGCAAGTGGAGCCAACAACGCCAATCGCAGAAGATAAGTTGCCAGCTTCCCAACAGCAACTACAGCAGCCACCTGTGGCAGCCAACGAGGACACGCCTATGGCAGAAGCAGCAACGACCATACCAACTAAGGTCACACCCACGCCCTTACCTGCAGATGTGAACATCTTTAATGTGCCGCTGGAAACGGAAAAGATGGAACTATACGCAAATAGCAACGAGCAAATGGCAGCAGAAACGCCTATGGTAGCGCCTTCCGAAAGTAGCGAGCCAGAGACAGCAACAACAGCAGGAACCAGCATACCAGCTTCACAAGCAGCTGTCGAGCCCCTGGGATCAGGTATTGACCCAATGGCTGGACAAACAAGCGGCAGTGGCTACGAGGACAACAATCCAAACAATTGGGAAAGCATTGATAACTTGTTAACCACCACGGTCGCTTCCATAACAGCGGGCGGTGGGGCGGCAGCAGCAGCTGCAGCTGTTGTCAATGGAAATGGCGGGACGGCAGCGGTTGGCAGCGGTACTACAGGCGCCGGCCTCAATTTGCAACAAAAGCTGACAAATGGCGCGCAGTCAGAGAGCGTTTTCATTAGGCTCTCGAATCGCATTAAGGTGAGTAGCAGCATCCGCAGCAATGATAAGTTTACTTTTTTTAAATAGCTCTATTTCAAAGCACCGAGCTAAAACGTAGGGTTAGTTGAATATACTAAGTTTAGTGGTTTTGAGTCCAAAATTATACAATATCCTTGCGTTCCTACGGGTGAGAGGACAGGTAGACATTGAAACTATTCTACTACATATGAAACATGGAATTATATTTGATGGTTTGTCCCTTTTAGTCTCCTTAAACCGCTTTTCCGATCGAGATAGATTTTTATACTCTGTACATGAAATGTACAGCAGTATATTAGGTTTTCGGGAGGTGAGAAATGTAACAGACAGAAGGAGGCGTGGCAGACCCAACAAAGGGTATATATTCTTGATCAGGGTGACAAGACGAGTCGATCTAGCCCTGTCTGCCCGTCTGTCCGTCCGTATGAACACCTGGATCTCAGAGACTATAAGAGATAGAGACACCAAATTTTGCACAAAGATGCCTTATGTGTGTACCCTATGGGGATTTTCACGATTTTCCATTCGTATAATCGCCTATATCTGGGAGACTATAAGACATAGGAACACCAACTTTTAGTCCAAGATGCCTTATGTGAATACGCGGATATTAACAGAGTTTGAACTGAGGGGTGTGAATAATGGCATAATAGATTGCGGTTTTTTTTTTTTATATATATAAAAATAGAGAGAAAGCATTTCGAATATTAATTTTTATGCGATTCCAAATTCAACTATTTTCTACTAATATTCTGTACATTTACTTATTTTATTGAGTGTATTCAATACGAGTGTAGTATTGAGTGGTTGCTCCAAAGCCCATCGTTGTCAGCAGTGACTAACAAACAACTGGGCTACAAACTACTATATACACAACCAGACATTCAACAACAACACACACCCATACGATAACATGTTTTAAGGGACGGCAGTCATGCCTACGTAGTTTATAGGAAGCTTGCGTGTTGTCCGCTCATTACAAGCGCCTGCCACTTGCCAATAGTTGTGGCCCAGCCCAACGCGCCCACATCCTTGTAACAGTTATTTGATTTTGCGCGCTTTTCGCAAAGGTCGCTACGTCATTGAGCTACTCCCACGTATGCATATTTGTGTGTATGTATGTACGAATACATACTTTTGTGGGCTTACACCCGCAACAGCCAACAGCCTTATACTATCGCCAATCGGGCACGTCAGACTCGAATTCATTGCTTTGTCTTCCACAGGCGCTCGAACGAAATATGTCGCTGTCGGGTCAATATCTGGAGGAGCTCTCGCGTCGCTATAAGAAGCAAGTAGAGGAGCTACAGCAGACGCTTACGCAGCAATCGCTAACAGTGCGCACTTTGGAGGATCAGAGTCGTCGCTTCATCGAACAGGAGCAGCTGTATCGACAACAAAGTGTCGAGCTTTCGGGAGAAGTGCGAGCCCTCACCTATCAGGTTCAGGCCTGCATTCTGGTCATCATTATAGTGGGCACATGCATATTCCTAATGCTAGTCCTGGGCACTGTCTATTATCGAAAATTGCGCCGGCAGACCTTACAACTAAAACCTACAGCAACGCTTGCGACAACTGTAGCCAAACAAAAACTGAGCCGTCGTAAATCCTACGAAGAAATGCCAGTCGCTGAGCCTATGGAACCAAAAAAGAGAAGACCCAGCGAGGAAGCGATGCTAATATTAAAAGATTGTCGCCATTCTGTAGTGGAGCGCGAGGGAGCGCTAGAACTCAACGGACAGCGCCAGAGAAAGGTGTCCGTCTGCTATGGCAGCAACAACAACATCACAGCCAACATGCTAAATGCCAGCGCCAGGGCGTCCCTGCACAAACGCAAGGGTGCTAAGCACTCTTGGCACAGCACTCTCGACAGCTCGTCCACATCGTGTGTGGAGCAATTGGACAAATTCTTCGATGTGGGTAAGTTTCAAACAGTTTCCAGTAATCTTATAAATAAAAATAGACTACTCGTTCAAGATTGTTCAAATTGGATTTCTGATTTGAAAAGATATTCGTAGCTTAAGTACAAATATATCGTGATCTTTCTAAGTATTAAATTTCAAGATTAAAAGTTTGGCTATTTAATTTAAAAGTATATAAATAGCAAGAATGGACAGAAACAAAATATTTATAAAAAGTATTTGAATGGAGAAACTTAATATTTATTATAATATCATATTGAAAGCTCATTTTAAAAAGTTGTGTAGAAACATAGTTTGTTAAAAAACAAACTTTAGATAAAAATAGCAGTGTATTCTTCGAGTAGACGAGTATTGCCATATTTGGTTAAAATGTTTCTAACCGATAACCAAGCATAGGTTTGCTGGATAAATATATTATGAAAACAACCATACTCCAATTTGTAGGAACATATATAGAAAGTTGTTGGCTTTTAAATTATTAATAACTTTCTGCTTTTTAACAGATACGCTTAAGAGTAACAAATCGCAACAAATCGGAAAACCCGGTAGAAAAAAGTTACAGCAGGCACTCAAGCGTCAGGAATCAGCTCCAGGTTGCTACACACAGAGCACTGACTTAACATCCGTCACAGCAAACGAAGAGGAGCGCACGCAAAGCGACTTCGACGAAAGTCTCATGCTGGACGACGATGATTTGGAAAACTTCATACCCACCAGCGACTTGGCGTACAATGAATTCATGCCAGGGGGCCCGTCGGGCTATCAAATTGTGGACTCCGTCGACGGTCACATGAAGCAGTCTCAGCCGCAATGCAAGGAACAGTCCTCGAAAAAGTCCAGACGCCTCTCATCGCCAGCATTTTTCAAGTCACCGTTTAGTAAGAATAAAAATAAGGGTGGCAGTTTCAATGGCAGTTCCGTGGGAGTTAAGCTAAAAAACAGTCATTCGGCACACGAGGCTACATCATGGGAATGGTATCGCTTGCGTCGGTCGGAAAAACAACAACAGCATCAACAACAGAAACAGCTCAAACTCTTCTCCAATGGTGGGGCTACTTCGCCGAATGCAAGCTTGGACTCTTCATCGCTGTCAGAAATTAATTTTCCACTCCATTCAAATCATAACTCTTTTCGCATTCTCGGTGAGGCGATAATGTCATCGGGTGAGAGTAATACGACAACCACTGGACATTCGAATGGCAATCATGGAAGTAGAGGCAACAGCAGCGGAGGCAGCGGCAGCGGCGACAGTACCACATCATCCACTACGAAAAAGAAACAACGATCTTTCAATAATATATTTCGTAAAGTCTTTTAAAAGTATAGTGTACCCCAACATCTACCCTATTGCCCAGTGTTCAACTACCATGTACCATCAATTGCACTTTGTGTTTCAAAAACTGTGTTCATCATTGTGCCGTTGTTACTTACGATTAGGCAGATTTATTTTACAAATTGAATGTAATTATCTTCTTACGACAAAATTTCGAGCGCTAAATTGTTGATAACAACGCGTAAGATATTCATTTCATTAAGAGTTCCTTTTGTTTTGCAGTAAAATGCAAATGACTGTAAAATTATATATTATGTATAACTATAAATATTATTTGAATTTTTGCACCTGCTGCATCTATTTCAAGAAGAAATGCAATAACAATAACAAATGAAAGCAATTGTTAACACACTTCATTCTTATTAAAATTCCAAGCCTCTTCATGGGTTTGTATCTACGTACCTACAAGTACTTATGTACTTCTTGCTATGTATTTGCCTAATTTAAGCGAAAATAGTTTTTAAGTACAAAATATAATATTTGGAAAGTTTGCCACCTAGTTTGTTATGATTATTACATTGCAAATACACGCAGTTTAAAGCTTAGTTTATATTATATCTTATCAACTGCAATTAAACTTATTTAAAACAAATAATAAATAATTTAAAACAAATAATAAAACAATGTATTTTTTAGTTAAGATATTATTTATACCCATGCCATTGCTATTAAAATTAAAAACGATTGATTCAACGTTTTTTAACTATTGTGGGCAAGAATATAATGCTACCATTGTGTGTGCCGGATAATTAAATACCCACTTCAAAAAATAACAACAAGAAAGGAATGTTAGTGTTGAACTGTCTAACTCTTAAATACCTTGAACCCGGTAACACAAAACCAGAGGAGTGGGGGTGCATCAGAAAAAATTCATACCGCGTACAAACATAATATACCTGGCCTTTATAGCTTCTGAGATTCAGGGCCAGATCGACTCGACTTGTCATGCTGATCAGGAACGATGTACGGCAGCTATGGGAAATTACTTTTACTACATTTTCGAACCCAGGAAAACCTGCATACTGAGATTGGTTATTTCAGCTCTTATACTTTCTGTGATTTGACAATGATCAAGAACATTTACACTTTGTGGGGTCTGCCACGCATCATTTTCTGTGCTAATTCATCCGGACTAAACAAGTATACATTTTTTCCCTCTGGGTACAGGGTTTAAAAAGATACGTACGTAAGCTTAGATTCAAACAAATATTTTATGCTCCATGACTATCATACACACTCTTATGTCGTCCGTTTTTATTATTTAACTGTTCAATATACAACTGAGTATTACATACTAAATTTTTAATTCGCCCAAAAAGTCGGCTACTTCCAGCACATCTTCTGTGGCGAGTTTGTGTTCTTTGATAACAGCGTTTAGACCACGACCAGCAGTGCCCATTTGTTTTTTCCACTGATCGATGGTTTTGCACCTTTCGTCGTTTGCACAGTAGACAATCTCATTGATGTCCTCATCCAGCTTATAACAACAAACTGCTGAGAACACTTCCTTAATATTCTTCAGCGCCTCTGTACGCAAATTTTCATCTCGACACACAAGATTTAGCATGAATAAACCCCTTGGTCCAATAATCTGTGAAATGTGCTGCAATATATTATCGGCTATAAAACTTTTCGGCGGACAGCTCATGCCAAGGGATAGATCCTTGCTGTCAACGTCAAACAGAACAGCATCGAAGTGAATGTCTACAACAGAATTTACATTTTAGAAATACAAAATACATACAAATTTAATGTAAATCCGTTACCTTCATCGCAACAACGCTTCACAAACTCCAAACCATCATCTATAACGACATGAAGGCGTTTATCTTGCTTTAGATCGAAATATTGTTCAGCAACCTCTAGCATGATAGGATCGATTTCAACAGCAGTAATGCGTGTTTGCCTGTGCAGATGTATGAATATAAAAATTAGCTCCGTAGAGTATATCTTATACTTACGGTAATGCCGCATGTAAAAAACTGCACAAGCCACCGCCACCCAATCCAATCACCAAAACATCTTTCTGCATATCTTTCTTTGGGTTTCTTAACGTGGTAGCCAACTGCACGCCAACAGACATGAAAACGTGATGCTGGCAGGCCAAATATCCAAAATCAATCTTCTTCCGCTCCTTTTTACTTTTGAGCGTAACTAAAGCACATCACATATTTAATGAAAGGTTACTTAGGCATAATTTATGACGCTTACCTGTTTTGACCAACGCCTCGGACTGCACCACAAATTGATTGTTGAGAAATATTAAACGACGAAGGGTTTTGCCATTGGACTCCACTTCCTCGATGCGAAAATCGCCAGATATGTTAGAGAAGCCACTAATCAACGTCTCACGTTTGCCCACATCGGCTCCTAACGATAAATATGGTATTTGTTCGACCAGTCCTGCTGGCGCCAAATGTCGTATGCTTTCGGCTAGCTCCTTTTTCACCTCATCCAACGAGCTGTATATCTGATCACGATGTAGTGTAACAACTGCCAAGCGTTGAAACTTCGCTGAAGCTTGAAGTTTCTTGCGTCCGGCGGGTGTGGCAAAAAACCATTCGATTTCTCGCCCTTGTGGAACTATAAAAGCTGCATATTTGCCCAATCCACGGGCTGGCGGTTGATCTAATATGTGCAGGGTGTAGCGGGGTGTCTCCTCAGAGGGTCTGTGCAAGTCCATCGTTACCTCGTTGTGACCCGCAATGTTTGAGCGCACAAGGCCATTGCAAACCAAAGCAACTTTTTGAACTGAATCGACAGCACTGATAAGCTCAGAGGCGCTTCCAAGACGTTGCATTTTGTCATTGTCAAGACTAAATTCTAGAATCTGAAAGAGAGTGATAGGTTAAAACAAAAATGTGATTGTGGTTTGCTATCCTTTTACCTGCATGGGAAGGCTGTGACTTTTAAATTTCGTTGCAACCACTATAAAAACCGGCATTGTTAAGGCATCGTCGCCGTTTTTATTTTTGTGCACCCTATCCAAATCAGAGCAGTGTACAATGCGTAGCATGCAACCATGTTGTGGTAAGTACTCGACCAGATATTTTATAATGTGCTCCTGCAGCAATGATACACACACATAACGACCTCCATTCCTGTTAGAAGAGCTAGATTATATTAATACGTAATAGAATAGATCTCTGATTATTCGTCTACCGCATGGTCCGTAGAATCTCTTTAAAGTAGCGCTCTACAATGGCTTTGGTTGCATCTGAGTCGTCTACAAAGAGTGCATCCAGTGTCCCCTTGTCCAGCTCGACAGAAAATGTCTCATCCTAAGAAAATAACAATATATTTTTGATTTAAAAACAAATGAAAATGGAAGATTACCTCAAAGGTCATGGCCGTCGCATCCATTTGCAAGAATTTCATGTCAGCGCGCTTGCGCATATTAACTTCGAGCATCTTTTTGACAGCAACAGGTGAGATATCAATATTGGTAATATCGCTGTATATAAAAAACATTATAATTACATATGTATAATAACTGTAATACTTCAAGTGCTTCCGCGTTTGATCAAACTTCGACACACACCAAAAGCCGGCGTCATACATGTCCATTGATAGTTTGGAATTGCCGCAGCCCAACATCAGGACCTTGTCTGCAGGCTTTACATATTTATGAATGTGATCGCAGAGCTCCAAGTATTCGCCATACCTTACAAAACAAGTTATCACATTATAAATGTGCCATTTGTTGACGGAAATGTGCGGTGATGGTATAGGAGCACTCACCACTCGAATTCGCCGCGCTTTTTGAAGAAATCGTTCCAATAGTCTGTTTTGCCAAACTCCTCGCGAGTTTTTGGAAGCAAGTTCATTGTTAAAAATTGAATTCTACTAATGCTTAACTTAAAACATGTTATGTGCGGCGCGGCAGTATTGGGAAACCACAAATGTCGTCGGACAAAAGGAGTGGCAACTCGCGCGATTGGCAGCTGGAGCGGGCCGATAACAAGTACTCGTGCGTGAGGGGTGAGGACCAGTGCTACCAATTAGGAGGGTTGCAAAGTGGGTAAAATAGCAATTCCGGGGGAATGGCAAGTCGTGGCCTTAGGGAAGAAGAAAAATCAATTGTGGACAGTGAGCGAGAGACACGTGCTATTGCGGGAAAAAACAAAAAAAGAGACAAAATAAGCGGAAGACAATATTCAAACACCGGAGTGACGACAGGAGGGTTGGGATATACACCAGCGAGGCTTCATAGGCAGAGGTAAGGGTCTAAAAAGGGGCCAGTGTGCCAGTGACTAATTTCTTACTATATGTAATAGGAGTAGCAGTAACTGCGGGCGTTCTGGGAAGTGCGCTGTGCGCGGGTCAGCACCGACCGGCAGTACTGGGTCTTAGGCCGGACCTCGGCCCTAGCGGAAGTCAGGCCAATTTCCATGCAACTGGAAGTCTGGGCTAAGTACCCTTCAACATTAAAATACTAAATATTCACACACATTCCGCTCAAACATAGAACCAAAATTGTATATACACCCTACATACATATACATAGCCATCTCACATACACCAGTGCAGCATATAACACAAAATTCAACTAAATACTCACACATATTCCGCTCAAACATAGAACACAAAATTTTATATACACCACACACTCCTTTATATACACTCCATACATGTTCACATACACCATATTCAAACACACACCGAATTTCCATAGCACTCAGACTCACATTCATCCCATAGCCACATAATGTAAAATACAAAACAAAAAAACAACACACAAAACAATTAACAATTTTCTGTTACACACATAGCCCAAACCATTCACAACATAATATAAAACATTAAACAGAAACACAACACCAAACAAGTAACCATATTGTAAACAAAAATTCAAATGTATACTTAAGAAAAAAGAACATAAAAAAAAAAGAAAAGTAAAAGAAAATGTATAAAGTCTAATATAAGCAAAAGAGGTTGGAATGTGTATTGGAGCGGCGCAGTTTTTTTTTTTTGTTTATCTCCTTGTCATTACATATCATTACACCCCTCATAACCACATACTCGAGTATAGGTAGGTTAGGAGGTTCGAAAATCGAATAAGATAAATAGGCACAAAGAGCCAACAAACTGCAGCGTCCCAAAACTCAATGGCCTAAATACCCGAATATATTTTTATTGTAATAAAATTTAAAATTTGAAAATGAGTCTGGAGTAGAATCCATTTATGGGGTGAGATGGGGTGACTAAAGTCCCGGAGCAGAAGGGAAACCAAAGCAAGCATGTTGAAGGGAGCCGGCAACAAAATGCCAAAACCGGCTCAAGGTAGGGAGGGCCACGCGGCTACATGACACCAAAGTAGCCACAACTCCACCCAAATTCCACAGGCGTCCCTCAGCCGACAATATGAGTAGGTGTGTTTGATAAAAAAATATAAATTCATTGTTGGTCTGCCGCACCCCTGTCGCGGTCGAATCTGACCCTGAGCCGATGGCTAGCCGGCGTAACGACAGGGGATGCACTGGCAAAGGCGGACATAACAAGATGGCGCCCAATATAAATACACCTGGGTCTACATTTTAGCAAATGTTGCCCCAGTTCGAAGCGAAGTTAAAAGCCAGAGTCTTGTTGTTTGTTTTTTGTGTTGATTTGTATTCTTTATTTAGGTTTACATGTAAATTTCAACAGCAATAGCTGCTGGCGGCCCCTGAGCCGGCGGGAAACGGTGCAACTGCCAGGTCCGTGGGTGAGCTTCACTAGGGCTCAGCCCATCGTTGCCGCAGTTGCATCTTTCTTACAGCGCGGTGTAGGTTGGTAACCAGCAGAATAGGCGCAGCGAAGGAGCGAGTGTAGCAGGTCCGTGAGGAGTCTTGGTGCCCACTCATTGTTGCCCTACAGGGTGCTCTGAGGCTGGAAAGATAGAGAGTAATGTCTGTCAGGTGTTAAGTAAAGAATAGTATAGTTGCCTTATGTTTTTTTTGTGTTAGTTACCGTTTTTTTTTGTGGTTGTTTGGTAGTTCTTATGAATGGTTGCGTAGTAGGTCCATGTCCTGTCCCAAGCGGAAGGAGCATCGTTGCCCTACGTATCAGAGCATAGGAGCAGCAATTCGCCATAGCCCGAGCAAGATTTGAGTTTTTAGTAGGCGCCTGGAAGAAATTGGGTGGTGTAAAGCGTGCGATACATATGTGTTTGTTTTGGTTGTTTACCTTCTACAGTGACTGCGTGCCGTGGTGCAGCGTCATACTGAGGATCCTCATCTCACCCTTACATGTCTAGTGTTGAGCCTGTGAGAGTAAAGAAAGATTGTTTTGATTTATGCTATTGTCAGTTAGTGTATTAATTACCTTTTATTTATTTATTTGCGTAGCAGCAAATAAATTATCAATAGACGGGGAGTCCATTGTGAATGGTCCCGGTCAAGCACAGCTGTTCCTGGGCTGAACCATCGATATTAATAAGTATCGACAGGGTATTTTGGCACAGATTAGCAGGTCTGTGCATAGGGCGGGAATTTGAAGTTCAACTTATCGTTAGTTTGTTTTTTTTTGGAGTAATTTTTTTCACTTAGTATTTTTTTTGTTAAGTCTTTTGGTATACATTTATTTATTCTCATTTATTTATTCTCATTTATTTATTCTTATTTATTTATTCTTATTTATTTATTCTTATTTATTTATTCTTATTTATTTATTCTTTTTTTTGGTTGTGTGTTTGATGGTATTCCTATATATATATACATAAGCATTTGATTGGATTAAATAATCCAACGGGTACTTAGCTAAGGATATTATCCCCGCTTATCATTTAAGAAAACACATACATACGAGTGGACCGATCTATTTATTTATTCGGAGTTTGCTCGTTTATAATATAGATATAGTTTTTTTTGATATTATAATCGGCGGGTACGGATCCGAGTACTAGCAGTGGTTTTTTTTTGGTTTGGATTAACAAGGTACTGAGAAATGAATCTTGACCCGAATGTTACCCGGAAGGTCAGGCGGAGTCAGGAGTTTATTAGAAATAGGCCATTGGTTCACTTGGACTCTCCTCCTCACGTAGGATTGAGTGAGGCGGGCAAGCCAGCAGAAGCACTCCATGATGACGCATCGCCGCCGAGTGTAAACGAGGCAGCGTTCCGAGGATTCGGGGATGAATTTCCGAACAGTTCCGGAGCAACAACCGGCGCACGCGCGCGTGACTATGGCGGTGAAGAGCAGGGTGGCAGAGCCGAGTCTGCGCTGCCAAGCGAAATTCGGTCAGCGATCAACGTGGCATTAGCACAGGCCCACGAGACGTATCGCGCATCGTTGTCGTCAGAAGTAGAGGCCATTCGAGAGACGATGCAGGCCAGCATGCTGTCGTTCATGCGCGAGATTAATGAGGCAGTGGCAGCGCTGAGGCAGGAGAGAACGCATAGCGCGCCTCCGTCTGTAGCACAGGCGCCGGTGGGCAGGCCAGAGCGAGCTCACGCGCAAATGCAGCGGCCAGCCTTAGGCGGGTACGAGCCGGCAGAGAAAGAAAGAGATTTTGTAAGTAGTAGACCAGCAGCTGCAGCACCGACTCACCTGTTCGTCGACAACCGAACTTTAGAGGCAGAACAGCGGGCACATGTGGAGCAGCGGCAGTTCTCAGCCGATCCGTGGATGCGCGATTTGGGCCCTGACGTGCACAGGCCATTAAGGCGAACCACGATGGGAGACTCCCGGCCCGACGTCGTCCACATCAGAAAGTGGGGCCTTGTATTTGATGGCGAAACCAAAGGAATGCCGGTGGCAGAGTTTATATTTCGATTGGAGCATTTGCAGTCCTTGTATCAGGTGCCCTGGGCCGACGTGTTGCGAGACTTCCACTGCCTGGTGAACGGGAGAGCGAAAGATTGGTATTGGATGTACATACGTACCTCGGGCGTGCCGGACTGGCCGAATCTCCGATATGGGCTGCAGCAGCAATTTCAGACTCGAAGATCGGAGTTTGAACGAGAGCAGGAGCTGAGGGAGCGGAAGCAGCGGCATGGCGAGAGCATAGAAGAGTATATTCAGGCGATGCTGGTGTTGCGTTCTCGGTTGGTGTGTCCATTTTCGGATTATGACCTTATTAAGGTGATAAAGACAAATATTAAAGACACCGTGTCTAGGGTCATCTATCCGATGAATATAACTAATCTGCAGAAGCTGAGAGAGGAGTGCCAAGACGCCGAAAAGATGCTGGCAACGCGTTGGGCGCGGCCCTCAGCCAGTACCAACTACGGGCAGCAGCGAGAGCAGCATCGAGTACACGAGCTGGACGTGGTAGCAGAAGGTACACAAGGCGGCCAACTGGAGCATTTGGAGGCGGTATATAGGCCACATGAAACTGGTGGGAGCCGCTCGAATCTCAAGTGTTGGAATTGTGCACAACCAGGGCATACATATTTCGATTGCGAGTCGGCGGTGCGCAATATGTTTTGTTTCAAATGCGGACAGCCAGGCGTGGTGCTGCCAAGATGCCCGAAATGCCGTCCGGGAAACTCGGAGAGGAGTCCGACGCAGCCGGAGGAGTCGCACTCTCGGTAGACGGTGAAACGCGTACCTCCGATGATACAGTAGTTAGGATAGGAATTAGTAGCGATAAGGATAGTACCGTTAGTCATATTTACTCACAGATATATAAAGTCAACCAGGCAGTCCCACCGAAGAAAGTATGGTCGCAGCGGAAACCCTTGGAGCAGCGTCAGCGCGACTATGAAGTAGCCAGGAACCGCATATTTGGTAGCCAGCACGAACCGGATGCGAGAGGGGCGTCGAAGACATCCTTGCGGGCGCGTAGGAGACACCGCGAACGCCGACAGAAACGCCAGGCGGTGTGTGCCGCGGTGAATTCTGCATGTCGTTCCGACAGCCGCCCATATGCTACGGTAGCGATTGAAGGCAGAGAATTTACCGGTCTGTTGGATACCGGGGCGTCGGTGAGCTTGCTGGGAAGTGGTGCCATAGAGTCGGTCCGAAAACTAGGTTTGGTGGTACGCGAAAACAAATCCGCGGTAAGGACAGCCGGCGGCGCGCCACATTGCATTATTGGCAGCGTGATGGCGCGCGTTAGGTATAACGGAACAGAGTCGGAAATGGTATTCCACGTTTGCCCGTCGTTGTGCCAACCGCTTTATCTGGGCGTGGATTTTTGGCGCAGGTTCGGTTTGGCTCCGAATGTGATCCCGGCTGTGGACGAAGGACAGCACGTGGCTGAGTTGGAGGAGGAGCGCTTAGGAAAGAGTACGCCAACGGAGCCACACGATTTAGAGGCGTGGCAACAGGAGAAGTTACAGCGAGTCGTGGCCCAATTCAGATCCTTCGAGGAGCACGGTCTGGGTAGGACGCCAGTGGAGCAGCACCACATTCAGTTGACGGAGGGGGCACTGCCAGTGAAAGAGCGTTTTTATCCCGTGTCGCCGGCAGTGCAGGCGCTATTGTTTGCAGAAGTCGACGAGATGCTTCGGCTAGGGGTTATCGAGCCAAGTGAGAGTCCATGGAGCAACCGAGTGACTTTGGTGAGGAAGCCTGGAAAGAACCGGTTGTGCTTAGACGCGAGAAAGCTAAATCAGCTCACGGTGAAGGATGCTTACCCACTCCAGAGCATTGAGTCGATCTTGAGCCGAGTGGAGGATACCATTTACATCAGCAGCCTGGATCTAAAGCATGCTTTTTGGCAGATCGAACTGGATCAGGAAAGCCGGCAGTACACCGCGTTTACGATACCAGGAAGGCCACTGTATCAATTTAAGGCCATGCCGTTCGGGTTGTGCAATGCGGCGCAGCGCCTTTGCCGGGTGATGGATAAGGTGATTCCCCAGCGTTTGAGAAGCCATGTATTCGTGTACCTGGACGACCTTCTCATAATATCCAGAACGTTTGAGGATCATTGCAAGGTGCTGCTGGACGTGGCAAGTGCTTTGAAAGTAGCCAATTTGACGATTTCCTTAAAAAAATCCAAGTTCTGCTACAAGTACTTGAAGTATCTGGGGTTTGTGGTTGGCGATGGTGCGTTGCGGACGGATCCAGAGAAGGTCGAGGCGATTCGGGCGATTTCCTTGCCGACCAGCGCAAAGCAGCTCCGCCGATTCTTGGGGACCGCTGGCTGGTATAGGCGTTTCATTCGGAATTTTTCCACGATTTCCGCGCCGTTAACGGACTGCCTGAAAGGGAAAGGAAAGTTCCAATTATCGGGCGAAGCGGTTGCGGCATTTCAGGAGTTGAAAGGGGCACTCACCTGCGCGCCAGTGTTGGTGCATCCAGACTTTCGGAAGCCGTTCGTGATCCAATGTGACGCGAGCCAAGCGGGCATAGGAGCGGTTTTGTTCCAACTCGATGCAGACGGGGCCGAAAGGCCGATAGCTTTTTTTTCAGCGAAGCTTCGGGGCGCTCAGCTGAGCTATAGTGTCACCGAGAAGGAATGCCTGGCTGCAGTAAAAGCGGTCGAAAGATTCCGGCCGTACGTTGAATTGATGCCGTTTAAGGTGGTGACTGATCACGCCAGCCTGCGGTGGCTGATGTCATTGAAGGAGTTGGACGGTCGATTAGCGCGGTGGTCGTTGGCCCTGCAGAGGTTCGACTTTAATATTGAGCATCGGAAAGGCAAGGAAAATATTGTAGCCGATACCCTCTCACGGCCTTTCGAACTGGAGGAAGTTGATTTTTTTGATTTCGAGACAACCGAGTTCGAAGGTGCGGAGTATACCGAGCGGCTGAAGCAAGTGCGGGAGAACGCGGAGCTATTTCCGGATTTACGCGTGGAGGATGGGCTGTTGTATAAGCGGGCGCAGTTCACGCGGCCCGAGCGAGAGGAATTTTCCTGGAAGCTCTGGGTACCGCGTCCTGTGTCCGCAGCCCTTATACAGCAGGCCCATGAGAGCGACGCGGCTATGCATGGGGGCATGAAGAGGACCATAGAACGGCTCAGGCAGTTTTTTTTCTGGCCCGGGATGGTGGCACAGGTGAGGAGGTACGTTGCCGGCTGTGAAACGTGCAAAGCAACAAAGCACAGCACGCAATTAGCGAGGCCGGTAATGGGCGCCGAAACCGTATCGCTCCGACCAATGCAGAGGCTGCATCTGGATTTTCTAGGGCCGTATCCGAGGTCCAGGAGAGGGAATACCACCATTCTGGTTGTTCTTGACCATCTGTCCAAATTCGTGTGGTTGCGAGCGATGCCAAAAGCAACAGCGGCGGCAGTGGTCCGGTTTCTGCAGGAGGAGGTGTTTTCGGCATTTGGAGTCCCAGAAACCGTCCATACCGACAACGGTAAGCAATTTGTGGCCAACCAATTTACGGGGTTCCTGCAGGGGCTGAGCATCACCCACGTACGCACGGCGAACTATGCCCCACAGGCGAATGCGGCGGAACGCGTGAACCAGACAGTGTTAGCGGCCATCAGGACATATGTACAGGGCGACCACACGAAGTGGGACGAGAAGCTCTCGGACGTGCAGTGTGCAGCACGCAGTGCTATCCATGGCAGCATCGGCACGTCCCCGTATTTCGTTTTGTTTGGGCAGCACATGTTCACCAGCGGGAAGGATTACAAGCTGGCACGCAAGTTGGGGGCGCTGGAGGATGCGGAATTGCGCATGTTGCCCAGATCGGATCAGCAGAAGGCAGTGCGGGATGAGGTACAGCAGAGTGTCCACCTGGCATATGAAAAGGCGAAACGGCAATACGATAAGCGTGCGAGGATGGTAGCGTACGTACCTGGCCAGGAGATTTACAGGCGAAACTTTGTCCTCAGTCGTTTTAAGGACAACGTGAACGCGAAGCTGTGCCACAAGTATGTGAAATGCCGTGTCCGGAGCAGCGTGGGCAACAGCCTGTACGAGTTGGAGGACATGCACGGGCGTCGGTTGGGAGTCTTCCACGCCAAAGATTTAAAGCAATAGCTAAGGCCCGGCTTTGTTCGTCGGTAGACCGAGAGACCCATCTCAGGGTGTGGGCGGTGGCCTACGTTGGGCAGAGAAAGAACCGCGGCGCTTCTCACTCCCGTTTCTTCCGTTTGGCACCAAAATAAAACCGGAGTGTGGTGTTATGTGCGGCGCGGCAGTATTGGGAAACCACAAATGTCGTCGGACAAAAGGAGTGGCAACTCGCGCGATTGGCAGCTGGAGCGGGCCGATAACAAGTACTCGTGCGTGAGGGGTGAGGACCAGTGCTACCAATTAGGAGGGTTGCAAAGTGGGTAAAATAGCAATTCCGGGGGAATGGCAAGTCGTGGCCTTAGGGAAGAAGAAAAATCAATTGTGGACAGTGAGCGAGAGACACGTGCTATTGCGGGAAAAAACAAAAAAAGAGACAAAATAAGCGGAAGACAATATTCAAACACCGGAGTGACGACAGGAGGGTTGGGATATACACCAGCGAGGCTTCATAGGCAGAGGTAAGGGTCTAAAAAGGGGCCAGTGTGCCAGTGACTAATTTCTTACTATATGTAATAGGAGTAGCAGTAACTGCGGGCGTTCTGGGAAGTGCGCTGTGCGCGGGTCAGCACCGACCGGCAGTACTGGGTCTTAGGCCGGACCTCGGCCCTAGCGGAAGTCAGGCCAATTTCCATGCAACTGGAAGTCTGGGCTAAGTACCCTTCAACATTAAAATACTAAATATTCACACACATTCCGCTCAAACATAGAACCAAAATTTTATATACACCCTACATACATATACATAGCCATCTCACATACACCAGTGCAGCATATAACACAAAATTCAACTAAATACTCACACATATTCCGCTCAAACATAGAACACAAAATTTTATATACACCACACACTCCTTTATATACACTCCATACATGTTCACATACACCATATTCAAACACACACCGAATTTCCATAGCACTCAGACTCACATTCATCCCATAGCCACATAATGTAAAATACAAAACAAAAAAACAACACACAAAACAATTAACAATTTTCTGTTACACACATAGCCCAAACCATTCACAACATAATATAAAACATTAAACAGAAACACAACACCCAAACATTTAACCATATTGTAATACACACACGCCCATAGCCACATAATGTAAAATACAAAACAAAAAAACAACACACAAAACAATTAACAATTTTCTGTTACACACATAGCCCAAACCATTCACAACATAATATAAAACATTAAACAGAAACACAACACCAAACAAGTAACCATATTGTAAACAAAAATTCAAATGTATACTTAAGAAAAAAGAACATAAAAAAAAAAGAAAAGTAAAAGAAAATGTATAAAGTCTAATATAAGCAAAAGAGGTTGGAATGTGTATTGGAGCGGCGCAGTTTTTTTTTTTTGTTTATCTCCTTGTCATTACATATCATTACACCCCTCATAACCACATACTCGAGTATAGGTAGGTTAGGAGGTTCGAAAATCGAATAAGATAAATAGGCACAAAGAGCCAACAAACTGCAGCGTCCCAAAACTCAATGGCCTAAATACCCGAATATATTTTTATTGTAATAAAATTTAAAATTTGAAAATGAGTCTGGAGTAGAATCCATTTATGGGGTGAGATGGGGTGACTAAAGTCCCGGAGCAGAAGGGAAACCAAAGCAAGCATGTTGAAGGGAGCCGGCAACAAAATGCCAAAACCGGCTCAAGGTAGGGAGGGCCACGCGGCTACATGACACCAAAGTAGCCACAACTCCACCCAAATTCCACAGGCGTCCCTCAGCCGACAATATGAGTAGGTGTGTTTGATAAAAAAATATAAATTCATTGTTGGTCTGCCGCACCCCTGTCGCGGTCGAATCTGACCCTGAGCCGATGGCTAGCCGGCGTAACGACAGGGGATGCACTGGCAAAGGCGGACATAACAAACAAACTTAAAAGAATAAACGCACCAAGTTCATTGGCGTGGCCACTTTATTGCAATGCACCTGCAACTGACCAATGTGGCAATACCGTCAGCGTTACCAGTTTCCAAAAAAAAACTCGCGTTGCCAACTACAATAAGCGCACTGATTGGACGACACTTTACTGAAAAAGTTATCTTGTCTGTTTTTGTGTTGGTTTCTTTATTTATATAATACTTCAATTTAATTTATTTTACTACCCATGCATTTGGGGTGCACCAACGTTTGAGTTACAGACAGCAGCCATTGCACTGACGGTTTCAAGTGAAATCACTGTCTTCGTAGTAGTGAAAGCATCAGCCTGAAAAGGGGTGGTGTGCTCCCTACGTGCAGTCGTTGCCTTTAGAATTCACGGAAAACAATGGATATTTATTGACACAAAAGCAGGCAAAGTGCTGGAGACTGATGTTCTGTGGGATTACCATAAAGGAGCGGCGAACGGGAAATGTGAATTAATACCTTGGTATTGGAATTCTGTAAATGCGTGCCGCGGTAGGACTGATGCTGTCCCATGGTAGCGTGGAGCCCGTAATGTCACGTCCAGACTATGAGCAGACGGCACTACATCACGGCTGCCTTTTAGTGCTGCTACGGGGCGTGGGGCCGTCAAAGCCACGCACATTGCAGCGTGCGTTCGAAAAAGTGCGACGTGTCAACAATATCAAAGTAAATGGTATGTGTGGATTGGATCGTTATAAAGAAAACTTTCACTTAAAATTCTGTGATCTGTTATAGATTCAAGCGGCGCAACGCGTTCAGTGTGGGTTCGCTATATACATGATCACCCAGTGGAACACAACGACTGGGGTGATTTTCAAAGTCATCGACGGGTGCTGGGTCTAATCACGATTGGAAAGTTTGAGAATCAAACGGAGCTCAATGAGCTGTGTCGTCAGCACGAGTCGCTTAAGGTCCGCTATGGCAGCACTTTGTACGAAACTCGTGCCATATTTGTTGGCCCCGAAGCGGATGCGTCAAATCATACTGATGGTGTTGATGGTACTGTAAACGCTCACGCGCAACAACAAGAGCTGGAGACAATTGGCGAACACTGTAACGATGTTTCGACACCAACCAAGCCGCGCCTGCAAGATGAATACACAACGCCATCGAATTTCAAGGCGCAGGCGTTTTTTTATCGTGAGCAGGACAGCTGTGCAGATCTCGAACCGCGCATATGTGACTTTGTAAATGCACTTTTTTGGGTGCTAGAATCCCGTCGCTTGGAGCGCGCAAGGGAAAAACCTGATAAAGTCAGTTTGTTGTTGGCGCCCTTCGAGAAACGTGACTTTGTCGGTCTGGACATGGAGTCGCGCAATAATCGGAAACGCTGCGTAGGTCGGGTGATGAAAAACTTGGCGGATTTGTCACTACAAGCGGGTTTGGTGGAGGACTCTCTGAGCTTATACCACAATGCCAACGAAACTCTGCGCTCTGTGGGTGACTCGTTGTGGGTTGGCGCTTGCGAAGAGGGGTTATGTTCTGCCTCGGCCATGCTCTTATATCCACAACTACATGAGATGGAGACACTGCATCGGAATGCATCGCTGCAGGAAGCGGGTAAGCTTTTATTTCTTCTGTGTAAAGGGGATTTTAGTTCTTTATGCTGGTCACAGGCACCTCACCGTTGCGTAATATGTCGGAAAAATGGAGGGCCAGCGATGCAACTAAAAAAGTAAACACTCCCGATGCCAACAATATCAGCAACAATATGCTCAACAATGTTGCGGACACACGCATCACATCCAATTCATCTTCCTGCTCATCAGTATCTTCCATATTGACTACAAATTCATCTGCATCAGGCACCCCGACCACATCCTCATCCTCAACATCGACCATATCGGCGGCTACCTTTGGACATCAACAGCGCAATGGGGAACTACCAGGCAATATACTCAAAGCGGAGGAGATTACAAACTATTATCGAAAGGCAATAATTAATTATAGCAAGTATCGACATGCGGCCATCATTGAAACGGAGGCGGCTCTAAAAGCCACACGCGTTTGCATTGAACAGAATCGTCCATTAGATGTGGCCATGTTTCTGCAAAATATTCTCTATATAAACCTTAGCATGACGGAGGCCGAGCGTGTCAAGCGTTTCGAGATTATTACGGAACTCTATCAGCAAATAGGCTATCAACGCAAGGCCGCATTCTTTCAACGTTTGGCGGCACTAAAGCATGTTCAACAGGGAAGCCAGGCACCCGACTGGAATCAAAGCTACCGCCTGATGTTGTGCAGCTTCACGGGGTATTTACTTTCACTCGATCCCCTGGAGGTGCTCGAAAATGCAGCTGGTTGGCCCGCATTGCAAATTGATTTGGTGCAGAGTCTGATAACAGCGGCGCGTCGTTTGGGACATTCAGCTTTGGCCACGCGACACATGACGTTTTTGTTGCAGACGCAATGGGATAACATGTCATCAACGGAGCAAAGCGAAATGGCTGTACAACTGCAGGTGAGTTTGCAATTAATAAGCAAATAATACACAAGTTAATCCCTATACATGTGTAATGCAGAACTTAAGCGCGCAATGTGAAGGCTCGCCTGTGCCGCTAGTGCTGGAGAACGGGACTGTGATACCACCCGCCAATCTTACAGATTTACCCTACTGCATGGAGCTGCAGGTCAAAGATTTGCCCGCGCATTTGCGACCGCAGCGAATAAAGATTGCCAAAGCCGATAGCGGTCCATTTTTGTTTACGCCCATACACCTTAATTCCTTGGATAGAAGGGACAAAAAAAAGGAGAAGAATAAAATTGGTAATTACAATCAAACAATGTTGGACATTTAGAAATACTTCATTCAAATTAAAAGTATTTCTTTTGCTATTGAGAGTTAAATGTTGAAGTGTTTATGCTTTTAACATACATTCATACATATGTATATATTTGTTATTTTTCTCTTTCCCAGCGTTCCATTGGGTGCAAAACGACCTCAGTGAAGTTAGCGTGCGCTTGCGCAATCCATTGCCTTTCGAATTGATCATCACGGACATGCGCCTGCTTACCAATGGAGTTGTGTTCGAATCATTGCCACAGACTATAATATTACAACCGCATGTGCCAACAAATGTGTCGCTGCATGGTACGCCGATTGAGACTGGACAGCTCGATCTCCAAGGCTATAGCACACACACATTGGGGGTGAAATCTAATTGCAGACTCAAGCATATGCGCGGACGCAGTTTTCCGCCAAACTTTTTAGTTGATGTTATACCCGCACTGCCGCGCATTGATGTAAAGACATCGTTGCCCCAAACGGCAACATTTAGTAACATGAATAGTGCTGATATTGTTGTGACCTCGGCCAGTTTGACACTTTACAATGGTGAATCGGCTAGTTGCACCATAACCATTACCAATGAGAGCAGCACACTGCAAGTAGAGCATTTCGAGCTCAACATAAATTCCAATGTCGATCAGGAGGTGCAAAAGAAAATCTTTCGAATTGATGAAAAGGATTTGCAGGTTAGTGAGTTAAAACGATTTAAAGAAGTATCTTCGTCTTCGCCTTTATTGATTGGATTTTATGTCTTGTCATCCAAGGCCACAGTTTTAGAACTATCGAGATGAAACTTGAACCAAGGCTTTTTGGTTGTAAGACACAATGAAGGGTGCAGACGAAGATAATGTACTCTTAGCACGATAATACAAAAAATCTAATTTTAGGACAAACTTCCTATAGCGCCGTTAGCATCGATTAGTTTTGTGGTGCACATATATGCTGAGGCTGATTTCGTGTGTCCAATACCAGCCGCTTCGCTACATTCCACTGCTGCCGGTGGGGGAGAATATGGCCCCAGTTCACTAACGCATTACTCCTCAAACTTGTCCACATCGGGTCATGCCAGCTTACCCTCGCGTGTTAGTTCACCTCAGCATCGTCGTATTGACCCACAATGTGCCAGTTTTCGTTCCACCATGTCCGCAGCTCAGCACTCTCTGGCAACATTAAGTCTACAGCCAGCAAGTGGAACGGGCCCTCCAAGCATTGGCTCACAATATACACAACATATTGAGGCACAGTTGCGGATCAAATACTCTGGCGGCGAGGCCTTGACTGCGGGCTACTGTCGCCAGTGTGCGGTGTCATTCAATTTGGAGCTATTACCGAGTGCGCAAATAACCAGTTGGGATGTGCTACCTGCAGAGATGTAAGTAAAGAAATGGATGTAAATCTAGTAATCTTGAATGAGCCCCGAAATCGTGTGAGCCATAACAACTAGGGACCCAAAAGTTTCCCATACGCAGTTTATTAAAAACTAACTACGACCTGAATTTTTGTGGAAACAGTCATAAAGTCACTAAGCACTAAACAAAATTTTGTAATATATCTCGAAGTTTTTGTAAAATCGATGCACTATATCATATATCGGTGAAGTATAGTATTATTGTATTATAATATCGCAACCAAATCTCATATTTGGAATATACATTATTTTTTGCAGCGCATCGCAATTCTATTTAGTTCTGGATATTTCTAATCTTACCGCTCAAGAAATGTCGCTCAACTACACGCATAATAAAAATATACTCATCGAGGCTAAAGAAAGCTGTCGCGTGCCAATCCCTGTGGATCGTTGTTCGCTGGAACAAGTGTGTGCGGCACGCGCAGCTGAGTATGCTGAGAATATGGAGCGTGGTAAGTTGATAGTACCATATATGTATGTATATTGATGTAAATCGGTTTTCTTTAACAACACATTTCTTTCAAACAGAGCTTTGTTTTCGTACCCAGTTGCTTTCCTTTAGTGATGCGCTTAGCAAATTGTGCTCGACCCACATAGCGGAGCGTGTCAAAATAAATTGGCTCTTGACCGGCACCGATATTCAAGGTATTGCCTCATTGCGGGGCATTGTGCTGACTCAGGCCATGATTGATCTGACCACCGTATCGCCATTACAATGGTGTATGTATATATATGTATATCTATAGCGTATTTTCTTACTAAATGTAAGTCCCACCCTCAGTCATTAGCTTTCAAGATACCCCCGTGCAGCAGCATGGTGAAGTGGTTTGTGTAGTGGGTCAACACTCCATGTTGAGCATAAAATTGTGCAATCAGTCGCTGCAGCCATTGACTAACCTGGAGCTCACCATCAAGTTTTATCAAGATTATTTGAATGGCATTGAGAACTATAATCTGGAGACACGGGTGGCTATATCTGGACCAAATATGTAAGTGTAAAAAGTGTTTGTTCTACTTCCCAATGTAAAGTATATAGTAAATAGAACGCGATATGCTGGAGATTTATATATTTATACATTTAAAGAGCTTCAGTTTAAGCTTTTTGTTAAAGTTAGAAGGGGAAAAATTCAATAATACACCTACATATATGTAATGGTATGTAGAGTAATTAAAACAGCAACGTAAGTGATGATTTGGAATCTTTAAAGAAATTTGTTACATTGCCTGTTTTTTTTGCAAGATTCTTAAGGGAAATATTCGACTACTACTACTTGTGCTATTTAACCATTACTTTAAAACTATTAACTTTTTTTAATTTGCAGAATTTCCATACCGATTTTAGAGAAGCATGAGCAAACGCAGCACATCTGCTCTGTGATATTCTTTACGCCTGGACGCTTCAAGACGAGCATTGAATGCGTCAGCAGACCGCAGATATCTACAAACGCAACAAATGACGCAGCATTACTAACACGTTCTTGTCCAGGCGCCACTAATTTAGGTCAATTAGAAACGTTGGCGTCATCTCAACAGCCACATCTAAACATAATGTTGGAGTCTAGCTATGACGAACAGCAGACTCATGTGTGGAAATTTATACCACCTATTGAGGTGACCGTTGTTGAGCAGCAGTAATTGTTAATGTCTATAGTTAAATGTTGTTGTATTAATGTGTATGTAACAAGCTGTTGTAAATACTTATCCATTTATAGCATATTTCAATAGCAGTGGAATAACCAAATGCATATGTATATATATATGTAAACTTAACTTTATGGCAAAATGAAAAGCAATGGTTTTAAATATAAGCTACATTATGTGTGTATGTGTATTATTAAGCTCAAAATGATGTTATAATGCTTTATATATTGAGAAAATCGCCATAATATATATATATACATATATATACAAAATGCAGCAGGCATTTACTGTATTAAAACAGAAATGGAGTCGTGCGGGCCCGACTCTTAGAAACTCAACAGCCACTTCAAAAAAATGTATTTTAATAAATTAAAATTAATTAGATACAAATAATAAAAATCATATACCGTCAATCGAGCTTTTGTCTGGTGCTTATATGTATAGTAACTGGACTATAACTTTAGAATTGACCTTCTATCACGATGACCCCTAACGTTAGGACACGAGCATTTGCTGGATGTAAATGTCATATTTGGTAGCACCATTTCAAGAATTGGTTATATTCATTCGCCCTAATTTAGTACACCGTTGTGCAAAGGGTAATAATAATATAAGCCTAATTATCATCAATGCAAAGGAACATTTTTTAATTATAGAGATTTTATATCTCTCTTTATTAGTTATGGAGATCTTCGATTTGCAGCTTTGTGCAATCCATATATGTTTTTGGGAAATGCAATTTCTGTACATATAGATACTTATGTATGCATTGTATACAACATTTGGTACACAAAATTCAAATATACTAAAGAAAAAAAATCCTCAAAAATATTTTTACAAAAATGTACATACTAATACATCCTGTGTGGCATTTATCCCAATCGACGAATATCGTCCATAGTGTAGCCACTTTTATGTAGCAAAATGCAGGATAAAATATAGAAGTAGTAACCGCCCGGTATAATCATCAAAGACCCAATTACGCTCATTGCTAAAATGCGGTCGTTACTCTCCCTTTCCCCGTTCATATCAGTGAACCACTCCAAGGCCGCACATCCAATGCAAATCTAAATATAGAACAAAAACAAATGGAAGTGAATGTTGTGCTTCATTTAATGAATTCTTACCGTTCCGGCAATGAACAATGTGAGTATTATAACTATTGTTTTCCAAGGTGTCACCTCTATCTCCGGGGTTACATTGCTCCATTGCTCATCAATAAATCCATCTGTTTCGGTAGCACCAACTACTTTATTGTAACCGTCAATTTTATCGCCAGCAGCGCCTGCACTGACGGCATTTTGTCGGCGGCGAGAATTGGATTTCATGGGCAGCATATATAACTCGTTTATCGATTTGGTTTCCGTGAAAAAGACTGCGGCTATTTGCTTAATTAATTATACATCTAAATACTGTTTTTGTATATTGCAAATAAAATGTTATAACAAGTGTGGGATAACTAAAACATGGCCATAAAGAACAGCTGTTTGAAATGTTTCTATGTTTCAGCATTTTCCAGCACTGAAATGGTAGAAGCTGTTATTTTAAATGAACTCAACTCTTATAGAAAGCACGGTGCATCAACTTTCTTTAAGAACTTCTGCATATTTGAATACGTTTATGAGCCCGATGTTCTTATAAATCTTCATCTCGAAATACTTTGAACTAGTGCAAATATATATCGTTCATGCATACATATATATGTCAATGCACAACCATACAAAAATACTTGTAAAATTACACCCATTTCATAAATAAATAAATTTATTAAAAATATCACTTGTGGAAAAACAATTACATAATTATAAATAAGTCTAAGTCACCATATCTATGTAGTGTATAGGATGTTTAATGCTTTTTCTTTCTTACATTCGCCTTTGTTGTACGCTGCATTGCACCATTGAGATTATTGATCTGTATAAATGGCGAAGATTCTGAAATTAGTTGAAGCTCGAAATGGTTTCAAAATGTCACTAGTACATAGGTGTCAGAAAATTCGATAAATCTTTCATAGACATCAGTTGTCCCTATCTTAAGTATCATCATACAATATATAGGTGTGAAATTAAATCTATTTTAATTTTACCATCAGTTTAGATGTGGCTCCATATGCATTTTTGAAATTTCTCCCAAGATCAAGATATAGTCACATTTTCTTTCAAGAATTTTGATCTGTATAAATGGCGAAGATTCAGAAATTAGTTGAAGCTCGAAATGGTTTCGAAATATCACTAGTACATAGGTGTCAGAAAATTCGATAAATCATTCATAGGCATCAGTTGTCCCTATCTTAAGTATCCTCATACAATATATAGTGTGAAATTAAAGCTATTTTAATTCTTACCATCAGTTTAGATGTGGCTCCATATGCATTTATGAAATTGCTCCCAAGATCAAGATATAGTCTGTTTTTCTCTCAAGAATTTTGATCTGTAAAAATGGAGAAGATTCAGAAATTAGTTTCAGTTCGAAATGGTTTCGAAATGTCACTAGTACATAGGTGTCAGAAAATTCGATAAATCATTCATAGACATCAGTTGTCCCTATCTTAGTATCCTCATACAATATATACATAGGTGTGAAATTAAAGCTATTTTAATTCTTACCATCAGTTTAGATGTGGCTCGATATGCATTTTTGAAATTTCTCCCAAGATCAAGATATAGTCACATTTTCTCTCAAGAATTTTGATCTGTAAAAATGGTGAAGATTCAGAAATTAGTTGCAGCTCGAAATGGTTTCGGAATATCACTAGTACATACATATGTAGGTGTCAGAAAATTTGATAAATCATTCATAGGCATCAGTTGTCCCTATCTTAAGTATCATCATACAATATATAGGTGTGAAATTAAATCTATTTTAATTCTTACCATCAGTTTAGATGTGGCTCGATATGCATTTTTGAAATTTCTCCCAAGATCAAGATATAGTCACATTTTCTCTCAAGAATTTTGATCTGTAAAAATGGTGAAGATTCAGAAATTAGTTGCAGCTCGAAATGGTTTCGGAATATCACTAGTACATACATATGTAGGTGTCAGAAAATTTGATAAATCATTCATAGGCATCAGTTGTCCCTATCTTAAGTATCATCATACAATATATAGGTGTGAAATTAAATCTATTTTAATTCTTACCATCAGTTTAGATGTGGCTCCATATGCATTTTTGAAATTTCTCCCAAGATCAAGATATAGTCACATTTTCTCTCAAGAATTTTGATCTGTAAAAATGGAGAAGATTTAGAAATTAGTTGCAGCTCGAAATGGTTTCGAAATATCACTAGTACATAGGTGTCAGAAAATTCGATAAATCATTCATAGACATAAGCTGTCCCTATCTTAGTATCCTCATACAATATATGGGTGCGCAATTAAGTCTATTTTAATTCTTACCAATTCTTAAATTGGGGTTTAGGGCAACATCCCCGGGTTGGCGTAATGAACAAAACATGCCTGTTTCCGTCTAACTTATAGCGAACACGTGCGACTTGTTTCTAGGGATGTACAAAAACATCGATGCAATGTTTTACACACAATATATCGATGTTTTCTGATTTCTTGTGAGATGCATCGGCGATTTTATTTGTAAATTACATTTATAGTATCCCGCAAAAGGCAAGTTCTGCTGGTCATGGAATTGTTAATGAAAAGACTAAGGTAATTTTTGGTATAACTTTTTAAGTTTTCGTGTAGTCGTATGAAAACAAATTTTAAATTATAAACTACGCATCGGCAATTTGAAACAACCATCGATATACATTGCCGTTTTTTCTTATGTATCTCGGCTAGTTTCTGAAAAATTATCTTCTTCTTTTTTGGCCATTCATAGTGAATTGTCTTTTTTTTGTACATGATGTAAACGTACATTTTAATACCAGTGTGTGCATATGGCGGTAACGGGAAAAGTTGCCCCTCTAATTTTCAAAACTTTGTACTTTATTGAAGCTACATATATACAAATTATTTATACATATATGTATTTATATATTGCGGATTGGACTGCGTGTGATAAAACTTCATATTCCTGCATTGCTTTGCACCTATTCGTATGCGAAGTTCGTATTGCTTATAGTACATATTGGGTAATGAATTTGTCCTTTTCCTGTTAACTATTTTTCGGATAATTAAAAAAAATTGAGAGTCAATTATAATTTTTACACTTCGCGCACTCCAATATATGGCAGTCCAATATCCTTATCGCACACAACAACTTCAATTCCAACAAATTATAGTCTTCAAGTTTCTTTACAAAAATGTCTATACTATTATTGTTGTTCAGTGCAATGCTCAGTTTGTGGCTGCTCTGTTTCTACAGCCAGCGCCTCCTGCTGCTGTTGAAGTTTCAAACGCTTTTTGGCCTGTATGTCGGCTAGAGTTTGCTCAATCGACCGCAAGTCTTTCTTGTTCTTACTGGGGACAAATCCATAGCTTTGGTTGGTTTCTGTTTTGCGTGCCGCTTGCAGTGCAGCCGATTCGCCAATCAAGTGTGCATATTTTGCTTTGTAGTTGGTCGTTGGCTTCACATCCGCAGCTTCTGCTGCACCTTCTGCTGCCAATGGTGCTACTGTTCGTTTATTGCTTTGCTCTGTTTCCAAGCGCTCCCTTCGGCGCTCGGCATATTCTTTGGCAATGTCCTCGTTCCAGCCGTCACCATTTCGGCGAGCTGTCACCTCATCCTCGCTGGGTGCGTGTTCTTTTTTGTACACCACCGAATGGCGGTCCACATCTTCGCGACCAAAACTCATGGCAATGAAGCCGCCATTCTCTGCTATCTCGTGTATGACTGAGCGATGCACCTTATCCAATGGCTGGAACTCTAGATAGGTGCGATCATCCTTAGAAAAGCGTCCCATTCGCTCTTCTACATATTTTCGAAACCTCAGAAGCTCCTCTTTCTGTTTGTTTTGCATGCGCTCCATCATCTCGCGCTGCTTTTTGATCAGCGTCTTTTGTTGTTCATTAGTTGCAGGCGGCGCATCCATTGAATTGAGTATTGAGTCAAGTAAATCCATTTTTTGGTGTTTGTGTAGTTAAGTGCACTGGTGCAGGTTTTTACTGATTTGTTTAAAACCTTTTTCCTGCGCCCCGCAGAAAAAAAGTTTGTTGTTGCAGTGCAAGCAATGAACTGAATTGTTAAATCATTGTACTAACCGCAAAGCATAAGCTGCGGACGTCAATTTGTTGCTAAATTTTCTAAATTAATCAGTTTAATTTAATGTGGTGCCTGGGCACCAAAATCTCTTTAAAAATGCCAACCTGCATGAAAATTACGTTTCGGCATTTCTACGCACTTGCAGCAGCTGACTTACCATTATTTTTTATCAAGTTGACATGAACAGTCAGCTGATCAGTGTGTACACATAACTTGCAGGATATGTGTGAGATAAAAACGATAGCAAACACCCTTTGGGAACTACGGAATGTAAGCAAACGGAAATTTTTATTTTAAATTATTTTACGTTTGAAAATATTAAAATACATTTGGATACATGGATACATTTGGAATATGGATTTAATTTGCAAAAAATATTTTAAAATATCTAAAAATTTAAGAGATCTCCAAACATGCACGGTTCACCAAATGAGAGGAAATAATTTTCTTTCAGTGCTTGAAATTGAAAACAAAAAATATAGAACAGAGTTTTAGGGAAATCCACACGTGCCATATATGAGAATTTGAGAAATGATAGAAGCAACTATTCCCTTTTATTCGATATATATAAGTACATACATAAGAAGGTACCTTTGAAAGTACATACATACATATATCGCGTATGTTATGGATATTTAAATATTTTCAAATATATCAAATGCAATTTTGAAATATAGTTCATGGTCATTTTGTCAAACGGACTCAACCAACACAAACTATACTCTGTTAAGAGAATTAAAAACAAAAAATGAGTATTGTTCCGTCCGCTGTTTCAAAATCGTTGCTAACTACGAGTTGCCAATTTGACGCATATGCATGCAGGCGCAGTAATGCACTCCACATATTATAAATTACCAATTGGTGAGAAAAAAACAAAGCAACAACCGTTACTGTCATTATCACGTGGTGATCTTAAATATGGAATCACAACGTCGTACCTTAGTTCATTGGTTCCGCAAAGGACTTCGTGTGCACGACAATCCTGCTCTGGAGCGTGTTTTTTCAACTGCTCGAGCTTCTCCAGAGAAGTTCTACGTGCGACCAATCTTTATACTTGATCCGGGAATCTTGGATTGGATGCAAATCGGTGCCAATCGCTGGCGTTTTCTTCAACAGACTCTGGCTGATCTAGACAAGCAATTGCGTCAGTTGAAGTCGCGACTGTATGTGGTGCGCGGCAAGCCAATTGAAGTTTTTCCTCAACTCTTTAAGCGCTGGCAGGTGGAGCTGTTAACCTTTGAATCTGACATAGAGACTTACGCACAACAACGCGATGCATCGGTGCAGAAATTGGCACGGACTGCAGATGTAAAAGTAGACATCCACTGCTCCCATACGATCTACAATCCGGAAGTGGTCATAGCTAAAAATCTTGGCAAAGCGCCAATAACATACCAAAAATTTCTTAGCATTGTAGATCAGTTAAAAATACCGGCTGTGCTGGAGCGACCTAAAGTATTAACAATGAATATGAAACCGCCAGCAGACGAGCTTGAATTAGAAGATGCTAATGTATACGACTGTCCCACTCTTGAGGAGCTTGTCAAACGACCCGAGGAGCTAGGAGTCAACAAGTTTGCAGGTGGTAAGTTTAAGGAGTATCCTCAAAACGATTTAGTCTGATTTTTTTGGAATGCAGGAGAAACGGAGGCGTTGAGACGCATGGCCGACTCTCTAGGCGATGAGCTTTGGGTTGCGAATTTCGAGAAGCCTAAGACAGCACCTAATTCGCTGGAACCTAGTACCACGGTGTTAAGCCCGTATTTAAAGTTTGGCTGCCTCAGTTCTCGGGTGCTGCATAAGCGACTGAGGGAAATTCTGGCCAGGCAACCAAAGCATTCCAAGCCACCTGTATCGCTCATTGGACAGCTTATGTGGCGAGAGTTTTACTATACGGTTGCTGCAGCTGATCCTAATTTTGACCGAATGTTGGGTAATGCCTATTCATTGCAAATCCCCTGGCAAGAGAAACCAGAGCACCTGGAGGCATGGACTCACGGACGCACTGGTTATCCATTCATTGATGCGATAATGCGTCAGTTGCGGCAAGAGGGTTGGATACATCACTTGGCACGACATGCGGTCGCGTGCTTTCTGACGCGAGGCGATTTATGGATAAGCTGGGAGGAGGGCCAACGAGTCTTTGAGCAGCTACTACTCGACCAGGACTGGGCACTAAACGCTGGCAACTGGATGTGGCTTTCAGCCTCTGCTTTCTTTCATCAATACTTTCGCGTCTATAGCCCAGTGGCGTTTGGCAAGAAAACTGATCCCTCGGGCGACTATATACGCAAATATGTGCCGGAATTGGCGAAATATCCATCAGGCTGCATCTACGAACCCTGGAAGGCAACTTTGAGCGCGCAAAGAGAATACGGCTGTGTGCTAGGGGAAGATTATCCTCATCGAATTGTTAATCATGATGTGGTGCACAAAGAGAATATTAAACGCATGAGCGCGGCCTATAAAGTAAATCGGCAAGTGCGTACGGGGAAAATGGAGGACGAGGAGGACGAACAGGAGCAGATCAGCACAGGCAAACGGAAGGCACGCGCCGTGGGAACTTCAGCCAAAAGCAAGCGCATTAAAAATGTTGCATAAATTTTGAATAAGATGAAGGCAATTTTACTTCATTCGTACATCTACAACATAAATATGTACATACATACAATTTTGAATAAGATGAAGTTATTCTACTTCTCTTGTACCTCCACACATATGTACATGTATAGATACATATGTACCGATGTTTATATGCCCATCGACCATTACGTTTTTAATTGCGCTGGTCGACGCCATTTGTTTGCCTCGGCCATAAAAGTCCATTATGGAAAAAACCTTAAGCTGCATCAACGATGGTTTTGGCCTTGGCTCGTCAATAATGTTCCGTATTACCAAGCAGAGTTGGCGTATACATATGTATATCTTACGAACCTGCCAATGATAGCTACCGAACACACACTGCATCTTGGCTTTTTTTCATGGATATCATTTGCACAGAAATCGAATTCAGAAGTTTCATTCCCCATATTCAATTTGATTGCAATATCTTTATAAATAAAATAGTTTTTGTACCAAAAGCTATTCAAATAATATCGAATCTATGTCATTTTCTTTGTGAATGAGAGGTATTATTAAACTGATATAAATGTAAATTGGATTCATGCATGTACATACAATATATCCTTTTGGATACTACAAACTTATTCCACCAAAACCGTATACCCTTGTCATTTTAGGTGAATTTTCAAACAAATACAAAATTGAATTCAAATTGAGTAATTAATACAGTATATTTGACCAAAGCCTGTAACAACAGGATTAAATAACAGGAATTGGACATGTGCCAATGAAGTGCATAATATTTTCTGTGGGTTCGAGATTGCACAGGCAAAGTTTCATCGTGATAGGCCATTTTAAAAGGAAAGTATACCAGTAAATGTAATCTCTGCCCTAGCTTGCCAGCAGCTGTTGTTGTTATTGTTGCTTTGGCTCAACTGTGTACTGCACACATACTTATACACAAACCAAGAGTCTTAGGAAGTATGTATGGATATATCTAGAAGTACATACATATACATATATCTGCCCTATTTGTTATGGTTTTAGGACATTGCCTTACTATTTGTTTTAAAGGTACGTTTAATCCATCAAAAGAATTTTTTTTTTCACAATTTCGTTATTGTTGTTGTTCTTCCTATTTTGTTATTTATATACCCTGTACCCGTAGGGTAAAAAGGGTGTATTAGGTTTGTGCAAAGTATGTAACATGCAGAAGGAAGCATCTCCGACCCCCTAAAGTATATATATTCTGAATCAGCATGACGAGAGAAAGCGATCTAGACATGTCCGTCCGTCTGTCCGTCTGGATGAACGCAAGGATCTCAGAAACTATAAATGCTAGAATAACCAAAGTTGGCATCCAGATTCTCCTAGGTCCGAGAAAGGACGAGTTTATTTTTTTTTTAATTTTCCCTTTCTTCCCCCGCTACAGAATTTCGTCAATAGCGTCCACATTTCAAATGCTATATATAATTATCTACTGTTGCTTAAAATTTTATTCAATTCGGTCATATAACTCAATGACGGAAATTTACCTGGGTACAGGGTATTACACTGCGGGCTTGCTCGACTGTAACGTTCTCTCTTGTTTTGAATAGTTATGAATTTGCTACACATATAGTACATAGGTACAGAGTATTTTAAGCTAGGCGCACCCGACTTAAGCTTTTCCACTTCTTATAAAGATTGTTAAGTAACATCGTCACTTTATTTAACTATTCAGAACATCGCCATCGTTGAAAAAAACTTCATCGAAAACGGCTTGTGTTCTCTCGCCTAGAATTCTCATTGTATTACAAACTTTCGTCACAACAAGAGCCTTATTTTAAAGTACTATTTTTAAATATTTCATTGTTTTCTAAAACATTGTTAGGAACTCGTACAACACGACAATGTTTCGAAATTTGTGCATAGTTCGCAAAAGACTCTTGCCTACGATCCTATATCCTCGCTACAACGCTTGCAAGAAGGTGTCGACAAATGCGGTAAAGCTGTCTCTGACTTTCAAGTCGAATATGCCATTATTAGCGTCATTGCCATTGATCAGTGGCGGGCATCGTGGCATAAAAGTACAGGATATCGACATACGCGATCTGGCGCGCAATGACATCGAATTCGCTCGCGACTTCACTTCGTCGCTTTCATCGTTATCGATGCCAAGCACCCCAGAGTCGTCGCAGACTTCAGACGGAGAGGCTTCGGAGCCAACGACGGGTGCACCTGAAAGCGGATCATTGGATGGCGTTGTAACTGGAGGCGGCTGCGATAGCGCCACAAGCATTCTGGACAAGGACGGCAATCCCATCGTCCCGGTCGATATCGATGGTTGGGCAGATTATAATGAGGACGATGAGGGTGGTCCGACCGTTCAAAACACCACAGAAAATCATGTGGAAATTGGCAACGATGAGGAGTATAAGGCTTTGCAGGCCCTAATGGTACCCGACGAGCGAGAGGCGCACTTCGAGTACAAGGGCATCAAGGTGCAGCTGCCGAAAACTGTGCACAAAGACAAGGGAACATATCGGTTCCGGCGCGATCCCGAGGATTTCGAAGCGGTTGGTGATGATATGCGGCTCTGCCGATTCGATAAGAAGTGAAGCAACAGCAATCTAACCAATGCGCTTATCCCAAATATGAAAACAGTTGTCCGTTATCCCAAATTAATTCCATTTACGTAGTTAATGCCAGGCGTTTTGCAACTTAGTTTGAATTTAATTTTGAAGTATTACAAATTTATTAAAGTATGTGCAATAGTAGAAATTAACATTTAATAATTTGCTGTACGTTGATATTATAATTTATCATAAATCCGAGAATCCTAATTGGAAAATTGGCGGGTCCGCCAAACCAAACTGCAGTTTGGCAACAAGGGTATGGTTACTGGTCTAGGTTCTCCCCCACAGCTGTGCTCAACAGAAACACGTAGAACACGTAGACTACGAAAAAATGAGTAGGACGCAGAACCGCAAGTTCCATACGGCCGAAGAAAGTGAGGTGCAACCACTTCCGGCCGGGCAGAAAGGGTGATCGTAAAAGAGGGTCGTGCTTTTTACGGTCAGTATAATGGGGCAGCAGTGACATCAGCAATATGCATTCCTTAAGGTCACTTTCATAAATGTGACCAGGAAATAACTACTATACCTTGAAAACTCTAAAGTAATGCTGCCTTACAGCTTTATATCTAGAAGTTAGATCGAAAGTGACGCTTATGATATACAAGTACAATATGTGCTCAAGGTGACTTTTAAGAGGCCACGGCGCAATGGAACTATATACAATGGCACTATGTACATTTGAGAGAGCTTAAGATTATGTTTGTTTATATTGGAGAGCTTCCTTTCACAATTATCCACGAAGAAAGAGAAGGATATATCCAAATTCATGACACTACTGACCTATGTCAAACAGGCAAGCACAGCGGTGACAGACACTGGAACTTAGAAGCGCTGAGAATCCAATGCTGCAACTGAGGGTTGGGCTTATGACTGCTTCACCAACCAGGCAGCAGGCAAGCCGGAGGATACAGTCTGGGATGTCGGGTGCGCGGATTTCATCGCACCACTACCGTGCTCCAAACACGATGCTCAATGCGACGACAGCGGCGCTAAGGTTGGCACTACAAGAACGAATATTCGGAATTCGGATCGCAATTCACGAGTCGCTTTGTGAAGCAGCTCTCCGTTGAGCCGGGCCTGAACTTCCAATGGCAGTCCACACGGCGCCATCTCATGCTACTGGCTATTCACCGACATTTCTGTGTGTGAAATTTGCCAGTAAAGGTACTTAATATACTTACGTTAAAACAATATATTGTTAAGCCGCTTGGCTTGGCACAAAGAAGATAAATTTCATTTTTTCTCCGCTTTTACACTACTTTATTTACTTTCGCCTAGTAAGTGTTTTAAAATGTAACTATTTAACTGCAATATTTAGTACATTAAGCTACTAAACTATTCTGAAGCATTCCTGCGACAGATTTGGTTCCTAAATATTCCTGCGTCGATTTTTAACCATTTAAAACCAAAAGATTAGTTCTCTTAACAATGTTAATAGATTTCATTTAATGTCACAGAGCAGGGCAACACCGCGTAAAGTCCAATGCTTCGGATTGAAATCTGTCTCAAAATCGATTGAACCTACATACTTTAAATCGGTTCGCTGTGGTTTTCGATAAATAGGACACTCATATAATTTTGGATCCTTTCCCGCAGTAGTGTTGATTGCAAATATATATATTACCGGCATCTGTTCATACAGTACCTTCATTTTTGATTCGATTAATTTTCCAGTGCGGCGATCCAAAGATGCTCCTACAAAATGTATACGTTTAAAGTTCATTAATGAAGATATTTCAAAGGTATATTTTTGTTCAGTGTGTCTGTACATAAATGTTTATATAAATTGCAAGTTAAGAAACAGAAAGTTTCTAAACCTCGAAAAAATTTCATAGTTTTTTGCCAATATGTGAAATAAGCAGAAGAGAGCATCGCCGACCCCAAATGTTCATAATTAAAAAAATACCTTGGAACCAAATAACTAATAAAGGAAATACAAATAAAAAGGGTATTTAACCAGTCTGATAAGATAGACAGGAGAGAGGCTCCTCTCAAGCCACCTTCTATACCTCGAATGGAGCATATGGAGGCCATAATGTGAAGAGGTCTGGTTCAAAAGGTGCCCACATAATTTAACAACTTCAGTAAAAAAAATTACAGCACCCTAGTGAAAGGGTATTCTTTTTAACAAAGTCCACGAAAGGAAAAATCACCTATTGGGGCGTACCACTCAGAGGTATTCCACGTAGCTTATGATGGCGAACTAAATTGTCAAAGTGACAGGGAAAAAAGTCTCTCTCATTAGGTATGCGATCTGAGGGTCTTTAGCGATATCATCTTCATACTCCAATTACTTTCTGTGCGCTATCATTCGAGACGGACGTGCTATATAGTTATTCAAAGTCTATTGACCTGTCACCAGCAAGTGGTGGACGTTGTACCAAACTTCCAAATAAATTGAAAAATAAGTAAGTACAGCGACCTATTTTATTACCACTGGTGCACCGCAAGACTCTGATGGTACAAGACTTTATTAAGTTTGTGCAAACTGAACAAGAGAGAATTCTACAGAGAATATTCTCTTCCGACGGTTTGTTGTATGCGCCCATAATAGAAACAAAAAGAAGAAGAGCGAATTTAACGGTGCAGTTTGTGGGCGTAGCTTTGGAGTGGAATTGTTTCGCTTATAACTTTTCTGAAATGGATCGATTTGGATGCAACTTGAAACTAAAGTAGAGAATTACATATGTATATATTACGTATAGAAGGCTATATTTATGTGGATTTGGAAATAAGGACGGTATTCGAATATGAGTATTAACTTTCATCCACTAACCCCCCTTACTTTAGAAGCAGGTTGAAATGTTTCCGACAAAGAACAGCTTAATTTGTGGGCTCCGTCAATTTCAATTAAAAAACGTTGTAGTTGTATCGCGGAGGCTGACGTGTTGTGATGGCACAAAGCTCAACATAGCCCCGATATTTCAGTTGTTCAAAGTAATTCGACAAAACATAGTAGATAGTGATGTTTTCTTTTTTTGAAAAAGGATGCGTATCTATCCGATCAGCAATGAGGATTTTGAAGAATACATTAAGTAAGCGATTCCATATAGATAGTATTCAAAGGTAGGGGTAGTAAACAATATTACGTATGGCAGTATTCTTTTCATTCTCAGACCGTCTTCAAGAGCAGAAGCAGCATGAGATAAAAAAAAAAGCGTATGCGTAGGTTGAAGGGCAAGCGGATAAGGATGCGCACAAAGGCCAAATAATTGTGCCACCGTTCCAGGCAACAAAAAAAGGCTCAAAGTAATTTGGCTAAACAGCTTCTCACGTAAAAATACATGAATTATGCGATTAAAATGCACTTTAAATATCGTTAAAATTGGATCTAATAAATAACAGGATTTCATAGAGGTTCCGCAAAACCAACCACCGCTACCAGTGGATCTGCATATCTAAGTTGGCACCTTGGATTTGATATAAACACATTCTGAATCGTGGCTCTGCCGCATAGGAAGTACACGAACTATGTATATTTGTATGTATATAAACAAATATAAATCTACTATATAACTATAAAAAAATCCCGCCATATCACTACGGTTGTGGTTAGTATTAATATATACTTATCATACATATGTTGTATTAATATATATCATATCTATAGTCATACGTACTTGTATATCATTAAAAATATACTGTTTTCTCCTGCTGGTTTGTCTTACTACTACTTATTAATATGTATTATATGTATGTACTATATAATATGTATTTTACAAGTAAAATTTGTGTTTGTTTAAGTATTCTGGGTATTCATTGTGTTCTATTGGCCTTACCTTCTAGGAACAGTCCGTTCACGTAAACGCCCTCTGTGGGATACTCTGTAATATCCTCCTTATTGTATCGAGTTATTTGATTTTGAAGCACAACAGAATCCAAAGCCCATCCTTTATGAGCTCGCGTTACCTCCTGGCAATTGCAAACATGAAAATAGTTGCATGAAAAATAGGTAAGTATTAATGTATATGTATTACCATGCAGACCTAACTTTAATAAATAAAAACAGTAAAATACCCACAAAATATTAAAAAAAAAATTTTAACGATTAAAATAAAAATAATCAATACATACATACATAAGTTTATGTACAGTTTCAAAAGCATACATTTACATCAGAATAGTGTATTTGCGTGTTTATGTACGGGTATGTGTAAAATACAGAATTAAGTCAAAGCTGAAACAACAAACAACAGCTGCGGGCAGAGTATGGAGAGAGATTAAAGTTATGGCTATAAATTCCATTCAATTGACGTATCATTATGAAACTTAACTCAAGAACACATAAGCAGTGGGGATGTGCATCCGATGTGTGGCGTTAATTGACACTATTTAAATTTTTTACTTATACTTATTGACTACTACATAAATACAACGTATTGAACGTAATAATAAATAAATAAAGATACATAAGTATTTTGGGTATATTTTTTACTTACTTGTCTCATGGCAGTCAAAAAACCTTGTGGATTAAAGAAGCCAGTCATCCAGAAAACCTTTTGTTATAAATTAAAAAAAGGGAACATAATAAAATGTCAATATATTCAATGCTCTGTGCAAAGACCAAAAATTAATTTTTTTAAAATGTATTTCGGGTGCAGCCAACCCTAATAGATTTTTCTGTGATCTTCCGATCTTAATTTACTATTAAGACAGCTTTTACATAATAACCACAATAAAATTGCAAAGACTACTAACAAAAGTGAAAATATGTACACGTACAAAGAATTTACTGTTTTGTTTACAGGATCTTTGCCAAAGTAAAAGGTATATTTTTAAACTTTTCCGTTCTCAAGGATCCAGAACAAGCCTATCCAGCATTGTCGTTATAAATAATTGGATTTGTTGCTGACATAAAACAAATGTTTCCTCAAATTAAAACTCGACCAACCCCTCCAACCCCTCCTCCCTTTTAATACTATATCATGACGTCATTTTAAGTCAAATCGTGGGTTTTGTGATAAGTTTTAATTGGCACACAAATTAAAAAGAGTATAACAATAATGCGTTCAATTGATGTTATACCGAAGCACGGCGATGTCCGAATATTTACTCATACGGGAGTCATTCTTTTTGGCCCATTCGGTCTAGTGATTCCAACTGATTGGAACTTGTTAAGTCGCTGGAGACATAGTGTTAGTAAATCTATATGAAGTATAAAAGCTCGAATGGCTTGTATCCGAAGGCGAAGGACACTCACAAGGACAGAGGAGTTGAGCCTCCCTCTACTGTAGCATGCGTTTCTTCATAATGATGGAATATTAATTAAGTAGCTCCAGCAATAATTCTGAGGATTTTGCCCTTGTTGACAAAAGCCCACATTGTTAGCACATGGATTTCCCTATAGATGTAATCAATCGACCCAGACTGCCTTTCTGGTGATAATCAATAATAATAAAATTTTAGAGAAAAGTGTGAGCATGTCATACTGTGGGGTCATAAAAATTGTAACAAGGTCCAATTCTGCCTGGAGTGAAATCTGGGGACTAGTTCTACTTGACTAAACTCCATAGCGCCTAAAACTATGCAACTAACAACATGACAATAATCAGCTAACAGAAATAATCAAATTAAATCGTTGATCTTTAGGTGCTTCTGAGACCCCGGTACTGCCGACACTGAGCTCTATGCTAGATATCACCTACATGGTATATAAAGTTAGGAATTGGGAGTGTTGAGGCGATCGATGCCGACAACAAGCCCATACATAATTGATAATCAACGTCTAGTGATCTATTCTCAAAAAGAGTAAAAACAACGAAATAGTTTAATGCAAATATATGATATCTAAATACAAGTAGAATAATATGAATATATAAGTACATAAGCTTTACGATATAAGACATTAAAATATCAAATGTAGTATTTGTGGTTATAATAGTGGTAATAAATAGTGAAAGCAATAAAGTTTTACAAAAAGACCATTTTTCAAATAGTGTTGTTTCTATCTAACCTAAAACGGATATGATATAGCGCATTGACAGAGTCCGCCCCAACATATAACCGTCTGAGCAAAGATTCAGTTGGATAGATCTAAAACTAATGGTTTCCCCAATTTGGGATGAAAACATGCTTCTAACATTCTATGATCTTTATCAGTTTAGCCAGATGTTAAGATGTCATATTTACAGAGTACCTTTTTGTTTGACTTACTTTCGGTCGATCGGTTGAGATCCATGTGCGGAATTGGGCATTACGCTCCAGTAGTTCCGTGTACCAAAAACCCAGCGTAGTTGACTCCCAAGATATCTGTTAAAAATACAGTTTAATTAATCAGCTATAAGCCATATTTAACACTGTGCATACTCCTATAAATGTGCTATTTATTTTACATTGGAAAATGAAAGTTTTTAATTTAATATTTTGCCTAAAGTCGTAAAATCGTTTTTACTGATACTTTTGACTTTCTAGGTGCGTAGAAGATATATTCTCCCATAACTGTACTCCTCCGCTAATAGCTTCACAGCGAAGGGACTAATCTGCATGGAAGCAGACAGATGGACAGGAGGATGTGTTTTATTATGATTTTTTTACCCTGTGCTCAAAGGGTAAAAGGGTATACTAGTTTTGTGCAAAAGTATGTAACACACAGAAGAAGGCGTTTCGGACCCCACCCAGTATTATTCTCAATCCGGATGACAAGCCGAGTCGATATAGCCATGTTCATCTGTATGAACTATAGTAAATGATCTTATAAAATATAAGAGCTAGAATTACCAACCTTGGTATCCAGCTTTCCCTAAGCCATAGGCAAATTTGTTCATTTTTTCTGAACCCCGTACTACGTACACGTAGGATAAAAAGGGAATATTAAAATTTGTGCAATGTATATAACAGACAGAAGTCCCTGGGCATACGAGTTTATTTTAATTTTTGTAATTTCTCCCCCCTTTCTCCGGTACAGAATTTCGTCAATACTGTCCGTAATTCTACAGCTACATAAACCAAAACCAAACCACACGTAATAATACATATATAATTCTGTACTTTTGTCTAAAATTTCATCCAAAGCAATCAATAGAATAAATCCTTTAATAAAACTAGTGTGATTTAAGTGGAAACCTTATATACGCACCTTCATCCAGGACTCGGGTATGCGTGCATCGTACATAGCATCCAGAGACTCTTTCAAGGCTGGGCTCATCACAATGGTTCCGTCTATGGCTAATTTTAAATCACACAGGCACGAGTGCACACGCTTGATGACTCGTTGCATGCGATCAATTTCTTGCCTGGGAATACAGATAGCCTACGTATTTATTTTAAATACTAATTTGTGATTTAATAGTCGCTTACCGGAGAAAGATGTTCATGGGCAGGAGAATTCCCATTCGTCCAAGGTTTTCACGTACCTCATATGCATTATACTGAGAAGGAAGCTTACGCAGCATATCATCGGCCAGTTGGTAAACAATACTCTCTCGCGTCTCGCCACCTCCGCCACCGCCCTCTTTAGGTTGCACGCTAAGTATCGTATCAAGTATACCTGGAAAGCAAAGGGAGGGGTGTAATTGTCCAATATCTGAATTTTTCTTATTATGGTCAAAAAAGTAATGCAAGGATACCGTATTGCACGTCAGTGTGGCAGTATGGCAAATATATTTTATAATATTTACATTTTCGGATGAGATGGACGCATTTGCCGTTTTATAAACATTGACCATAGTTATCAAGTTATAGAATATGCTCAAAGATTTCCCATACATTACTTCAAATATAATGAGGCGTTACACATTAAAACAAACAAAATAAATGTGTAAAAAATTACTTTTTGATTTAAAGCAAACAAGAAAGGAATGCTAAAGTTGAGCAGGCTCAACTCTTAAATACCCTGTACCACCCCACAAAAAAGTAATTAAATTAATAAATTAAATTAATTTAATTAATTAACTAAATTAAATATAAAATATTCCATGCATACAAACATTTACATTTACATAAGAATCGTGCCTTATGCGTGTTTGTGTACTTGTACATATGTATGTATGTGTGCATTGGGCCTGGTTATATGGCTATAACTTTCTTTCCGATCATTCTATCATAATGAAACTTGGTATACGGATATATAATCACTAACCTAACTAACCTACCAAATTAGTTCAAAATTCCAAGAATTACGGGAGTTATAGAAAATCGTTAATAGGGGGGGGGGAGTGGGGGGGGGGGTGGATCAGAAAAAATGAACAAACTCGTCCTTTCTCGGGCTCAGGAGAATCTGTATACCAAGTTTGGTTATTCTAGCTCTTATACTTTCGGAGATCCTTGCGTTCATACAGACAGACAGACGGACAGACAGACGGACAGACAGACGGACAGACAGACGGACAGACGGACATGGCTATATCGACTCGGCTTGTCATGCTGATCAAGAATATATATACTTTGTGGGGTCTACCAAGCCTCCTTCTGTGTGTTCCATGTGCACTCGCACAAAACTAATATACCCTTGTACCCTTTGGGTACAGGGTATAAAAACACTCAGGTGTCTTATTATTATAATACAGTTGCAGGTAGGAAAACAACGGTACTTTTCTATGCCTATTTTAAATAAGGAACTAACTGTTTTTATAACAAAGCCTTTTCTCCATTTATTTATTAATTTTTTTTTTGTTTTTCTCAAAGTATTATGGTAAGCACCTTCGTTTACGAGTTTTTTCTTGCCAGTTGGTTCTTCGCCACCGCCCACCAACAATTGCCCAAAAAACTAGATTTTTTACCTTATTTCTAAATTTGAGTGGACTCGCTCTCAAAGGTAACCATTGTTTGATCGTCCTTTGTTCAAGACACATGTTAATGTAAAGCATGCTAAAAAGATTGCTATGCCATGAAAGACACAAAAAAATACTCTACCTAAATCTTTTTTTGGGTACATATTTTAGTAGTAAAGTCAGGTCTTTAAATATATATGTTTGTAAGTATTTATTTACACAAAGCACTTCACACAACTGTCTTGCACAAGGAACGATCAAAAAGTGCTGTTCTCTTTATTACTTATGTCTTGTGTACTTCTGAGAGCGGGAATGCTCTCAGTGTGTACACTAATGCTTATTAAACTAAGTACAAAAGTGTATACATCCTTACTTTCTACGGTGATTAGAGTAACGGCCTGCTATAATATGTATATACGGATTATGTGAAATAAATAAATGATTAGAGGGTATTGCAAAAAAATGAACATTCCACTACTTGGTAATGTGGAAAGGGGAAAGCCTTACTTTTTTAGTTCAGATGGAAGAACCTTACGCCTTGTTGGTGCACTTACCTTTGGCGGAATTGATCTGATAAGTAATATCAGCATTTGAGTGCAACCCAAACACTTCAGGTGTGTCGTAAGCTGGGAGGCTGTTAATGTAATCAATGAACCCATGCAGATTTTTTGTGGTTGGTACTTTGTAGCCCTTGTAGAACTCAAATGAGCTGGAGAGCAGCTGTTCGCAAAACCACACAGACGTGAACGTTGTTAATAGGCGTTTGTCGAAGTCATCTGTCACTCGTCCGCCATACTGCACCTCGCCAATCATATATACGAGCGTCTGCCACGATACGCCCTTCTTTGGGTCCATTTCATCCAAATGATTTTGTATAAACTGCACACTCGCTGCAAAATCTGCCTGATTGAACTCGTAAGGTATGTTCCATCCGAGTGGGCCGAATTTCCGACGCTCTTGTACGATAGTATGTAAAAAGGCGACAGTGTATAGCAAGGGCGGCCATTGCGATGCCGATGTGTAATCCAAAAAGTCTTGCGTGAATGACTGTTAATGACAGTAGTTCCGTGAATTGAAAGCTGAGGTTAGTAATAGCCAGGACCTGCATACATACTTGATAGCTACGCTTCAAACTGGCCCGAATTCCCTGGGGAGGTTCGTTTGTGAATTTTAAGGCCATCTGAAGGAGGCCTATGGGAAACTCTGAGTGGGGCTCTGTGGTAACCCACATTCGAAATGAATCATCTATGTGATCCGTTTCAACCAGCATATCGATGACCTCTGCACAGAAAGGCAGGGAAAGGTGAACGTTTTGCAGTAGTACCCAGCCCCCACTGCTCATGGAATCCATTATCATCTTGCGGGCGTGAAACTCCTGGCCCTGGCCCATTGATACGGACCTAAGTACTACAACAACGATGTCGATCATTGAATATTACACCTTTTTCGATCTTACTTATGCCCTTCTGCTTGGCCAAGGCTCCTATTTGCGTAGTGGGGTCCGATCCAATAGATAAGAGACAGACAAAGGGTGTTCGTGGTTCTGACTCACTCCACGTAGCCTCTAGGTCCAATATTTGCATTTCGCTATACTCAGGACCAAGAGATTCTATTAGGATGATAGGATCGGAAACATATTTATTATGAATTAAGAGCAAAGAGATCGGAATATGTACCTTCAATATACTTCTTCGCCTGTGAGATGGTGCGATCTGGACACCAGGAACGTATGAGAAGAAGTTTTCTAAAGCCATCAAGCAACACATGATATCCACAAGGTATCTCTTCGTTCTCGGGTTTCTCACACTCGTACCATGTGCGCCAATCGCGCTCATTAAGCTCAATCTGGAAAATGTAGCTGATGAAAAATCAAAAGCACTCCCAAGCTTCTATTCGGACGCACCACTTGCAACACCGTAGAAAAGGTATCCAGTTTGCTAATTTCAACCAAGTTCAGCCATGTTATGTCCAGAATCCAGCGAAATGGCTTGGGAGTCACTGCGTTCAGATCCAGTGAAGCACCTCCTTTAATGAATGCAAGAAACTCTTCGTGGCTGATGGTGCCGTTGTGGTAGTCAATTTTTATAGCGAGCATAAGTGTAAAAAGCTGCTTATGGCGCTCGTAGAGGCTGCGATTTGTGAATTTGTAGACTTCGTACGTAAGGTAACGCAATATGATATTAATGCGTTCCTCAGTCACACTGGACTTGGTCGATTTTGTTATGGAGCTATTAAAAATGACAAGAAACTGTTTGAGTGAATTCTGATACATGGCATTCACATTGCTCATCTCGACAATTAGGAAATATAGAATAGATCCACGCTTCGCCACAGCTCGAAATTCCTCACGGGCTTTCATAATTTTACGTTCAGTCACTTCAGATATTTTCAGTTTTTGGTTGACTTCCTCAGCTGTGGTTTTGGTGACCCGCAGAACCTCAATGAGTGCCTCGTCGTCCACGAGTGAGCCCTGAGATGAGCTCAAGCGGTACAACAGATTCGCTTCCAGTTCTTTCATGTTACGTTGGTTTTGCATCACTGTTTCGAACAGAGCCACACGCTCGGCCTCCAAATCGGATTTCTCCATAAGAATGACTCGGCCTAAGAGCTGGTCCTCCAAGCCACGCATTGTCACAGTAAAATCTATAATCGATGTCTTGGCACTCACCTCCGGACTAAATGCCGGATTAGGCAGCTTTGTTGTGATATACAGCATAAAACCTGGCATGACATCACACTCTTTGTCGCCTACAAGCACTTTTTCTATGCTACCGGACTTGATAAAATTTTTCTCCAGTACGTTATCAATCACTGGATCCAAGTCGATTCCTACATCTTCAATTAGCAGAGGTCTCCCCAGCGACAATGAGTCTTCGAGATGTGTACGGAAGTATTTATGATTCAACGAAGTAATTTGTAGTTCGTTTTTGTCCTCTTTGCACTTGATCCAGATTTTGCCTTGTGTCTGGGGATCGACCAGTAGTGGATAGCTACTAGACTTGGTGGCTATTAGAGCATTTTGCACAGACAATTCATCATTGGGCAGGCCCTGAAGAGTCCACTCGGATACTGTGGATGAGTCCACGAGCATTTTAATAATGTTGAGTCCGGTCGTGAAAGGAATATTTTTCTGTTTAAGAATTCCCATCCATGTTTTGATTAGGTTGGCGCGGAACTCTTGGTTGTAGGGCCCACAGTAGGAAAGGAATCCAGTGGCGAGAAGCACATCACCCACCAACTTTCCTAATTGTATTTTAAATTCCTTACTCTGGTTAGTCCAACGGTGTTTCTCATCAGACAAACCGTTTATTAATGCAGTGGCCGCGGTCATTTTCCGCAGGCAGACGTTTGCAGCATCGGTTAGCCTTTGCTTTTCCCCTACAGCTTTATCGTATTGGTCTTTTACAGCCTGCAAAGCAACCTCGCGCTCCCTAAGCTGTTCTTCGGCTCCAGCCAGGTCATCCATAGCAAGCTAGATCACGTTTAGAAATTCAAATATACATATATAAAGGAAAAGTATTTGTATTAGACTAACCTTGAGACGCGCTTCCTGCAAAGTCAGGTTAGCTTTAAGTGGAAGTACTTCCTTATTGACGCTGTGAAAGAAAGCCATTGCCTTTGTCCAGGACAATAGTCCCGCCACATCTCCACAAACTCGACGAGCCATATCCATGTTGTAGTCCTCCATGCGAAAGTATGGCTGGAGTAAATCGATCATTTCGTCGTTAATTGTATCTTTTGGATAGTTTTGTAGCTGAAGCAAGAACGTTGCACTAGCCATCATCTAGATATGACGAAAGTATTACAGAGATCGTTCATGAAGAGTGACTCCAACAAACCTTCAATGATTCCTGCCAGGACGGCTTGGGACATGGAGTGCCAGAATCAGGTATACAGGGGTGCAGCTTTCGCTTAAAAAGTATCAGCACGCAGTCCATTATCCGCATTATTAAATGCGGCGGTCTTCCCAGCTTACGGACCGTAGCAATATGCGCCGGCTTGATGGTGTTCAGTGCGTTCTCCGCCTCCTCGAGTGCTGGCTTAGCAGCTTCTAGTTTTTCTTCAGCAAGTGCTTTTTCGTGGGCGATACAAGCGACGAGTGCCTCAGCTTTGTCTTTTACGATAAGTACCTGATTCTTGACAATCTCCGCTTGCATTGCACGCTCAGTTACCTCAACTAATACGGATTCTGCATTCTTAGACGCCTCTACAAGCTCTTCCTCCATCACAACTAAGTCTTTTTTAAGTATCTCAACAGAGGCGGAAGCCTCCTTAAGTTTCTCCAAGCCCGTATCCATCTTTTCCACACCATCGCGCAGTTCTTTCTGCTTCTGCTGATAAATATTTTTGTAGCCCGAAATAAAGTTTAGGTAGGATTTGGGAGTTACGTGCGTGGCGCGACGGAAACGTTGGAAGTATTCATGAGATGTTTCGGCGACTATATCTTGAATGGAGCCAAGTGCGTTAACAAGTTCTTCTTTGATGGCCGGTGTACACTCAATCTCGAAGTTACTCAGAAAGTGTCTAGCAACCGAAACGAGTGCATCTTTTGGCCAAGGATGCAGCCAGTCTATAGTGCATCCGGACACTAATGCTGGAAACCTCAGGAGGCGGGTTCGGAAAGTCTCGCCAACAGGTGAAAAACAAAAGGCCACATGTAGATTGGTGCAAGTTCGGGCCAAAAAAAATTCCATCACACTTTCCGGGGTCGCTGTTTTGCGTTGATTTTCGCGTTTCATGATCGGCGTCAACTCTTGCACGATTTCGGCCTGCTCATCGCGCGAGAATAAATTTGATATGACGCCGCTCGAGAGTATGTTATTCAAATACTCCAGGAAACCTTCTTCTTTAATATCCATATCAGTGAAGAGGAAGGTTGTGCCCTTACCCTGCACACCACAGGTTCGATAGAGCAGCTTTAGATCCTCCAGGAAATTGGCCACATTGTACGAACGCGTCAACGCAATTTGGAATGTTTTGTAGCCAGCTATAAACGATGCCAATTTCGTCAGCGACTGTTTTCCGGAACCTCCGACCCCGACAAGCATGACGTTTCCTCTCGGATGCCGAATGATCCGGGAGATCTTCACCAAGTGCAGCATCGCATCCGGGAAGAACACCAAATCCATTCCAGACCCTCGCACCATTTCATTGAATTGGGCGAGGAACATAACGAGACGCTCGCGGAGCACTTCATGAGAGTTCACCGGTTCGTATACTTTTGGCAGCTCCATATCGGTATCTTCGCCTTCCTCGCCCGTAGGTTCTGGTGCGTCGCGCATAAAATCGACAAACACCGGATTCGGAATTATCATTTGAGAATGGGCTTCACTGAGTTCTTCGCGAACAAGACAAGACAGCTCTGAGCCGAACCACTCCTTGTCCTGAAACGTGGTAAATCGATCGGCAAATACCCTAGTACACTCATGCTTCCATAATGCCATGAGCACGCTTTCCGAGGTGATAACTGTGGATAAAGTACCAACCATGCCTTGCCAGATACGTGACAAATCGCGCAAGCTGAACACGTAATGGAACTTTGCAGGCGTAGGTAACAACTTTTCCCGTGTACGCTGCCACAGATGTCGTGTCACGACAATCAATTTTTTGATGAGATTGCGAACTTCGGGCAGAAAGCCACGCTTGGCGTTATAGTGACCTTCGCCAATGACGCGGAATATCTTATCGGTGGAGTCATTGTCGGGAATGTTGCAGTTAAAGACACAAAACTGGCGTTTCAGGCGCGATGGTATATCGTTGCGCCCTCCACCCGGTAACCCCATTGCTGCTACGTACTGTACGTCTACAACAGTTGTAAAGTCACCCGGTTTTTCCAGGCTATAGAAACCCTTCATGTCCATGGATTGGCGGACAATCTCATTTGTTATTTGATCTCCCCACTCATTTATTTCGGGCAAATTGATGTCATCAATAAAAACAATCAACTTGCGACCACCGGGTGGCCCAAATGTGACTCCAACACGCTTCTCCACATAGCTCTCAATTGTACGTTGAAACTGGTATGGGCTTGTAGCCGAAGAAAAGTTAAATGACCGGCCCATGTATGTTTCCAAATTCATTTTCTTCATAAAGTTTTTCATAATGACTGTTTTGCCCGTGCCCTGTTCGCCGATCACCATCACGGCACGCTCCTGGTTGGCAATGGTACCTATTAGGTAATCGATGCGCACATTATCCACAATAGGCACCAAAATTCCCAAATAGTCTGGTGTGGAAAGCTCCGGATACATGTAGGGAGTGACGAGTGTTTTCCATGACTGCCACATGCCCGTTGGAGAAACGAAAAAGTCGAATATGCTATTTTCTTGAGCACTACCTTTAGCGTAGTCTAAATTAGGAAACGATTCCTTAACAAACAGATTCATTTTGACGCGATCGCTAGTAGAGAGATAACCGCCCAAGCCCCAGGCGAGCGCGAATATATACAAGCGGTGCAAGTGTTCAGGTGTGCAGGTGTCCTCTTTTTCCTCCAAAGCGATCTCGTCTGGAACATCTTCTACAGTTGTTAACATGGAAGCAAGGTGGACACAAAGAAGGGGAAAGCGGGAGATTAGTTTATATTGAAAGTCACTACGAAAGACAAGGAGACAAATCAAAATGTATACAGTATAATTTGATTAGCCGATCGAATACTTTGCACAGACTTTTGAGGCAGCTATCCTAAAAAGGCAGTTGGAAGAATTTTATTTTTTAAATCGAATTTGTACAATTTTAATGCCGTTTCATAAGAGTCATTAACTAAAGTAATATTACCTTTAGCCACATAAGTATATCAAATTACAAATAGTCTATAATTTGTTCAATTCAGCCTTATCAAAATTTAAATTAAAGAATTTGTCCTCCTATTTCATGATTCTTTAAAAGAATGGCTGTTAATTCCATCGACTTCGTCATCGTCGTCACTACGGATCGCAATGATATTGTTTTCAAAAATTCAATTATGGATTTGCCACAGTTTACAGCGAAAATAGGCCAGTTTCATCAGCATTGAAAATATTGGCTGGATCGTTGTCCCTTATCAATTCTAATAGTGTGTCCTGAATGTATTCACTTGCTGAAACATTGCTATTCTCACAGAATTTAAAGAGCTAATTTAACAAAACGTTTTATAGATGGTAATATTCACAGAAAATGGCAAAAATTGACTGCCGACATGAGGCAATTAAGTCCAAAATCAACTCACAATGCTGCTAAAAGCCAATTTCACGCAGCTATCTCGTCGATGCAGCTAAATATCGAGGCAGCTTAGCAAATTATACTGTATTTAAAAGAAAAGCACACAGATACAGGTGCAAGATATCGAATAGTTAAACCATTATGAAATCCAAGCTAGACATTTATATTAATTAAGTAGTACGTACACATAGAAGCACATTTAGACTTTTACGAAAATTACTTTTGACAATGTGGATGTTATACCTTACCAACAACCTGACTGCTAATTGAATGCCTTCGTACTTCGTCGAGTGGTTTTTGTGCTTCTAACCGCCTAGCTGCTAAAATATGTCAAATTTATTGTAATTTGTGGTTTTCACCAATTTGCTTAAAACTACTGTTTACTTCCGATTTATAATGCCACACAGCGATCTGAAATCTGAGGAATGCGGTTAGTTCTCAGCAAACATACCATCGTGACTCTCCTTGCTTGACAAACTGACGGCTTGCTCGTCCTCCTTCTTCACGGGTATCAGCCCCTCCAATACAAACAGCATTTGTTGCACTACATTGCACTGAAGCACTGGCATTTGCAGCTTCACATTCTGCACGCCCCAGTTATACACTTCCACGAATGTATTCTCAAATAGTTCTGAGAAAATTGACTTCTCCCCGGGGGCACGGTTTTTTAGCCAAGCTTGAACGACTGCAAAATTCGTAAATTGATGCATAAAATGGAGATTAAAACTAGATGGAATGTAACAGTCCAGCCAGCTCGACAGTACAATACCCTGTACCCAAAACAAGCTTCCTCTAGTATTGAATATATGTTGTTTTATATGAAATGGTCTATGTAGACTCAGCCGTTTCCGAAATCTAGGCTTTCACCCAGACAGACGGATTAAGATTAGAATATATAACATTTGTTACATACTCTACATCTACAAGTAATATGCCTGTTTACTTTGACTGTTCGGGTACAGGGTATAACAGCTTGCTTGTTCCTTACTTGGCCGTGAGTCTAGACCCGAAGAGCTCATATAAACCATTCCATTGCGTGAAACAGTCGCCGGCGAGGCATTATCTATATTGTGCGGCTCGAAAATGATTTTCACAGTTGGAGCCATAGTCAGACGATCTCCATTTGCCAAGGTGAGCGTCTTGTTGTCATCTAAAACTGAGTTCAAGTTTTCTATCCAGATACTGTCCACCGGTCCGTCCAGGACCAGCCAGACATGCTCGCCATTCTTAACTTTGAGAGTTTTTCTCCAAAGAGCTGAAAAAATACCATCAGTCCAGTCATTAGTGGCCACATCCAGGCGGCCAAACATCTGTGCAGCTGTTATTGCTTTCGGATTCATGCGCATCTCACGATGGATATCACCCATCTGGGTCATTGCCTTCATAAGTGTTTGAATACAAGTGGTTTTTCCTGCACCAGTCGGCCCCAGCGTCATTATGCCGTGGCGAACGTTTTGCGTTTCGTACAGCTGGATTAGTTTCAGAACCCATGGAGGATGATAGACCAGGCTAGATTCATTTGTTTGGTGCAAAATTGCTGCTTCTAGCTCGTGGTAGTTGGTTTTCTCAAGAGTCTGGAATAAATTAAAGAGACTTTGTTGCATGAACCACATATACTACGATATGTCCGATATAACCTGATTTGGAAACAAGTCCGACACTAGCGACATAAAAAGTGGCTCATCGTCATCAATCAGCTTGGAGAGATTCATGTCTCGCAGGACGCGCATTACAATCGTACTCTCACTATCCTTCGAGTTTCTTCGCTTGGCGGCTCCTAAAGTTCGCAGCACAGAAAGTATATTACGAAGTCCGAAATCATAATGCACCTGTTTGGTTAATTGCTCCTCGCACAATTTGTAAAGTGTGTAAAACTTTCGGGCTAGCGTGATATTCTCAAGAAAGCCACACGAGGCCAGCTTCACCCGTATAATGATTTGCCTGTCCGGAACCATCATGGCAACCGTGCGAAATTGTATTTTCAAATTTTCTGGTAGCTCCTTTCGACCAGCATATCCTGGATTCTGTGTACAATGAATAATTAAAATAGTTGTTATATATATGGAAGTAACAGCATAAGGTGTTTACATATTTACAATAAACCCCGATTTTAAAACCTTAACAATTATAAATTACTAATTTAAGTTTTGCATAAAAAGAATTGCTCAGTTTTAGAATTAAAATCTTTAAAAAACAGAACCCGCTTCCCAAAAAAAAAAATATAATTACTCAACCCCGCATAAGAAAACTGTTCAACCAACTCATTGCAAATACTTGCCTAATCAAACAAATTGCTCTGGAACCGGTTGTAAATTATAGGGCTGGTCCCAAAACTATAATGCATAATGTTTACAAAATCTGGGACAATGCAACAATGAATATAATAATATTCGCAGAATGTAACGGCAATGATAACAAAATGCACTTAAATAAATTTAGCTTTTTGGCTCTAAGCTGAGGATGAAGTTGAAGCTTCTAAAATACAAGGTGTGTTCCAAAGTAAACAGGACTTTTTAAAAAAAACAGAACAAATGGTTTTTTCGGCAAATTCAATTTATTTTATTCAAAATAGTCTCCTTCTGCTTAAATACAGCTTTTTGCACGATCCAAAAGCATGTCGGACGAGTGTTTTAGCTCGTTGGCCGGTATGGCCGCCAGTATGCCGGTGCAAGCCTTTTGAATGGCCTCTACGTCTGCATAACGCTTTCCTTTCATGGGCAAATGCATTTTTCCGAAAAGGTAAAAGTCATACGGTGCCATATCAGGTGAATACGGCGAGTGGTTAATGGTTAAAATGTGATTTTTGGTCAAATAATCGGTCACCAGCGTCGATCGATGAGAGCAATTTTTGGTCGTCAGTCAATTTGTGCGGAACAAACCGTGCACACACCTTTCGTAAGCCCAAATGTTCGGTCAAAATGTGATAAATCGATGTTTCGGAGATGTTTAATTCCATTTCCATCAATTTCAATGATGATTTCGGCTGATTTTTGATGAACTGACGCACAGTTTCGATGGAACTTTCGGTGATCGCGAATTTCGATTGATTATGTGCTCACGACCCCTTTGAAAACGTTGAAAACACTCGTGCACTCTGCTACGGGATAGGCAATCATCGCCATAAACTTGTTCCAGCAATTGAAACGTTTCGGTAGAAGTTTTACCAATTTTAAAACAAAATTTAATGTTGGCTCTTTGTTCGAAGCTCATTTTCGCACCGATAACAAAAACATACTGACACTTAAAACGCAATAACTTCACTTCCAATCGATGAAATGTCATGAAATTCTCACTGGACAATCGATAAAGATAGCAGATTCTAACGCACCAGTCGACATATAGATAGCGCCACCAGGGGGTGCTAGATTCAAAGAGTCCTGTTTACTTTGGAACGCACCTTGAATATGTACATAGACACGAAAGTCTCAAATTTCCACTGAAAAACACGAATATTTCAGGCCTCGAGTAAAAAATAAACAATCAAAAAACAGAGTATTTAGTTTTTGATACCCTGGCCTCGGAAGGCAAAAAGGGTAAAAGTGTATTAGGTTTGTGCAAAGTACAAGTAAGTAACAGGCAGAAGTAAGCATCTCCATCCCCGTTGATGGGCAAACAGGACAAACTTGTTAGAAGATAACTTTTAAGGTCGTTTTGAATTTTGCGCTTTAATTTGTTGTACACTTATAATTAGTAATAAAGTGTTACACATCATTCACATCAAAATAAATATACACCACGGCGCGCCAAGTATTATAGACAATCATGGTAATTTGATAAAGATATGAACCGCTGGGATATGGCGTCAACTTGAACATATCGTCCTTAATTACAAAATTGTCGATGATGATGCTGTGCTGTTGGGAAAAAAGAGGGGTTATGTTTCCATATAATTAAACTCAATGCGAACTTACGTCATAGGGGCATGTATGATCAAAATTCGATACGTTCAAAATACAGATATGAATGATTCTAAAAAGCGGATAACTGTTTTTACGTTTTTGGTAGTCGCAGAAGTCAAATGTAAAATTATACAAAAATGGACGGTAACCATTTAATTTTTTCATAATGCTAAAGTTAACCTTCAAAAGCATGGAAACTATTATTAAACAAAATTCGCCTCTCTAATTTTCAGTGCTTACCAAAATGTTTGAAATAGGGGATTTAAGCAAATCGATTTGCATATTCAATCCCACAATGCCACGACCCAAGACCTTAAGATCGCACTTTGAAAAGTTCGAGAACGACGGGTCAAGGTTCTTGCACTTAATGTTCGTAAATCGTGAATAGCTCTTAACGAGGACCACGGTCAGCAAAAATAAAAACGGAGCGGCGAGCTTCATGGCTATGATCGTTCTGTTCTCAAAAGAAAATTGTGTGCATTCATAAATAATAATTTATTGGGCGACTAAATGGGCCACGATAAGTACCGTAATTAGTGGCGAAAACCAACCGTTTAAAAATTTAATTAAGACAAATATTTTGTATCGAGTACATCGTTGTGTCCAAGAGCGCGCTCATCTATAAATTAATGATGTATGTATATACGAGTATATGTATTTGTCCAGAATCCAGACTCTGTTATGCATAACGGTTTGGTAATGACAGATATGGTCGATTAGTTTAATTTGCATATATGTATGTATATACTTAGAATGGAATGCGGGAGTCGAGCAGGCCCAACTCTTAAACAGCATGTAAAAACTGTTCTAAATCAAATTAATTTAATCAATATAGATGTACACCCAATTCTGTTTTTACACGGTTCTTTTTTACACGGTTTTAATTTAACACGGTTTGAAAACTAGAAATTTTATATATGATTACTCGACCTTATTCCATTTAGCACAATTCATTTTGCATATTAATATCTTTTTTTTACACGACTTTTTATACCCTGTACCCGTAGGGTAAAAAGGGTATATTAGGTTTGTGCAAAGTATGTAACATACAGAAGGAAGCATCTCCGACCCCATAAAGTATATATATTCTGAATCAGCATGACGAGAGAAATTGATCTAGACATGTCCGTCCGTCCGTCCGTCCGTCCGTCCGTCCGTCCGTCCGTCTGTCCGTCCGTCCGTCTGTCCGTCCGTCTGGATGAACGCAAGGATCTCAGAAACTATAAAAGCTAGAATAACCAAAGTTGGCATCCAGATTCTCCTAGGTCCGAGAAAGGACGAGTTTATTTTATTTTTTTTATTTTTCGCCCGCTACAGAATTTCGTCAATAGCGTCCACATTTCAAATGTTACCTAAACCAAACTTTGCACACATAATTATATTATATATATAATTATCTACTGTTTTTTAAAATTTTATTTAATTCGGTCAAATTTAAGAAAAGTTATTAGCAAAACAAATTCTCGCCAGTACAACCCCCCAAACTGCAGCAACAAGTTCGCTCTTCTTCTTCCTTTTTTTGCTGCTGCTATGGGCGCATATAACTCAGTAACGGAAGTTTACCTGGGTACAGGGTATTACACTGTCGGACTTGCTCGACTGTAGCGTTCTATCTTGTTAGTTTTGTGCGAGTGTACATGGAACAACAGAAGGAGGCGTGGAAGACCCCACAAAGTATATATGTATATTCTTGATCAGCATAACAAGCCGAGTCGATATAGCCATGTTCGTCTGTCTGTATGATCGCAAGGATCCCAGAAAGTATAAGAGCTAGAATAACCAAGCTTGGAATAACCAAACTATATATCCAGTTAGTGATTATATATCCGTATACCATTATTCATTATGATAGGGTGATTAGAAAGAAAGTTATAGCCATATAACCAGGCCCAATGCACACATACATACATATGTACAAGTACACCAACACGAATGGACACGATTCTAATGTAAATGTAATTTAATTAATTAATTAAATTTATTAATATTTTTTTTTTTTTTTGGTGGGGTGGTACAGGGTATTTAAGAGTTGAGCCTGCTCGACTTTAGCATTACTTTCTTGTGTATCGTGTAAATACCGAATTAGGTGTAATTGTGTTCAGAGTATATTAGGTTTGCGGGAGGTGGAAAATGTAACAGCCAGAAGGAGGCGTTTTTAATTTTCTTAATTTTTTTAATTTCCAAAATTATTCTAAACATATGTACAGAGTATTTCAAAGTCGGGACACCCGATGGCTGTATGTGAGTTTGTATAGTATATGTGTGCAATACATAGCTGCTGGCAGAGCTTCGGCAGATTTTACATTATGGCTATAGGTTGCTATCAAATAGGGCTATCACGATTAAACACATACCTCCCATAATTCTTTGAATTTTTTAATCAAGTTTGGTATTTACTTCCGGCTTGATCAAAAAATTCAAAGAACTAAGGGAGTTATGGGAAATCACTAAAAGCATGGGGGTGGGGAAAAGGAGGAAGTTCTTGCGCAAAAGCCCAAAATGTATGCATTTTGTCACTAACACTTGTTCCCTGTTCGCAAGTCTCAGGTATTTCATAAGCAAATGCACTCACCATCGTTATAAAAATTCCAAATTCAGGATTCATCTCAATAGTATCTCCATCGGTAAAAAGGAACGTTTTCTTCTTCTCCTTCTTAGCAGTAAGTACGACGGCCACTTGCTGAGCGGCGACTGACAGAACCGGCAACTCAATGCGGTTGAACTCGTCGAAGCAGCCCCAACTTCCTGATTGGGCAAGTCCCTTATAGATACGACCAAGACCTCTACAAAATCATAAAATGAAAATGGAATCCATTAAAGTTTTTGGAATCGTTATAAGTGCTATACGAGCCTCTTTAGTTATTGTTAATATAACTTATCTCTTGGAATTATTTTTAATCTGCTGGTAAAAGTAATACCTTGCAAAAAAGGTTCAAATCGAGCTATACAATTTCATATATATTTATGGTTTTTCCAAATTCATCATTACATTTACGAACCTTTTGATATCCTGTACCCAAAGGGTTACTAGTTTAGTGTGAGTGTACATGTAACACACAGAATGAGGCCCCAAGAAGGAAATGCCCATATGTATGACAAGACAATTCGATATAGAAATGTCCGTCTGTCTGTCCATTCGTCTGAACCCCAAAAGTTCAAATAGTGTAAGTGCCAGAAGAACCAAACTTGGTATCCAGATTGTTCTAAGACCACAACTAAGGAAAACAAAGGAAACATAAAGGACATTTCCCAGCTGCTAATAGGGCTTGAATGTCTTAGATCATACGTGTATCTATAATTTTGAGGTGTACAAGCCACATATATGCCCTGGTAACCACTCTGGGACGGGATTGCCGCTATCCGCCCTATCAAACGAGCAATAGCAAACAGCACCAACCATCTGAGGGTGTATTTTGATGAGCTTTCCTCTAAGCAAGTTTCCGCGATCCTGGTCTGCTTAGTGCTTAGGATCTGTTAGGTGCCGCAATGAATGCTTAAGGCAGAACACTTAGAACACCTTTGCGAAGCTTGACATCCCATTATTAAATTCTGTCTCGAAGATGAAAATGACCTGGTCTTGGATCAGTCGTGGACTTGACCTTTGTCAGTAGCGCACTTTTCCTATCCACCTCCTGGAGCCGTGATGTGTTTTCATAACAGCTTTTGAGGATATCAGGGCCCAGTACCAGTTCTTATGGAGGGAGAGGATTGCCTTGCGGTGCCCGAGGGAGCCTTTGGAAAGAAAACAGGCTCGAAACCCGTGTTATTTTCGAGGTCCTCTCGTTCCCAGAGGTAAAACAACAAATGAAGTACAGTCTGGAAGCGGTGGACCACTCTTTGCCCTTCGTCAAAGAAAAACTGGAAACTGGAGATAATTCTCTCGCCAGAGCCTGGCCAACAACCCCCTACGAAATCCTCGTCATACAGGCCAATCTATCTGTTGGACACGATGGTTAAACACGGTGCATCCTTTGAGCTAAGACTCGTAATCCCTAAATGGATGTAATTGTCAAATTTGAGTTGAAAATTCCTAAAAATACGGGAGTTATGAAAAATCACTAATAGATAAAAAAAATTTGTCCTTTTATACGGAGAAATTGACATTTCTAAATCGACTCGTCTTGTCATGTTGAATATAAATATTTAGTGGAGTCTGCCGCGAGTCATTCTGTGTGTTACATACATATACACTCGCACAAACCTGCAGGGTATAATATAATAATGAATACCAAAATTATAATTACCTGTAATCCATTTGATCGGAGCAATTAAATACAACAACGTATTTAGCCAACGTTTTCCCCATGTCTTTGACTGTTTCTGTTTTTCCAGTGCCAGCAGGGCCACATGGCGCACCCCCCATACTCAGTGTTAAGGCCTGGGCCAGAGTTATATAGCAGCTGTGGATTAAACAAGCACATTGATGAGAAAACCAACAACAAACGAAAGTTTAACTACATATGTACTTGTATATTGTAGATCAAATATTTGTACCCAGACTAAATGGTAGTATTAAAAAAGCATTAGGGTCCATTAATGTGCAGAGCATTTCAAAGTCAGGGCCGTCGACATTAGTTTTTCCACTCGTTAAGTTTGTTTTTGTACATTAAACAACGAGATTCAATTTCAACACACCATTACTCCCGAAACTGGACCAATTAAGTTTATTTTGGCCCAATCATCAGCCGACCAATTTATCCTCTCTTTGCAGCAATTTAGTCGGGCGGAACGCATTTCCCTGTAGCAAGCCGATTGTTTTGCAGCTCGTTGGGCTTGCAAATTATTTTCCCATAATCGCCTTTTTATACCCTGTACCCGTAGGGTAAAAAGGGTATATTAGGTTTGTGCAAAGTATGTAACATGCAGAAGGAAGCATCTCCGACCCCATAAAGTATATATATTCTGAATCAGCATGACGAGAGAAATCGATCTAGACATGTCCGTCCGTCCGTCCGTCTGTCCGTCTGGATGAACGCGAGGATCTCAGAAACTATAAAAGCTAGAATAACCAAAGTTGGCATCCAGATTCTCCTAGGTCCGAGAAAGGACGAGTTTATTTTATTTTTTGGAATTTTCCCCCCCTTCCCCCGCTACAGAATTTCGTCAATAGCGTCCACATTTTAAATGCTACCTAAACCAAACTTTGCACACATAATTTATATATAATTGTCTACTGTTGTTTGTTTTATTCAATTCGGTCAATTCTAAGAAAAGTTATTAGCAAAACAAATTTTCGCCAGTACAACCCCCCAAACTGCAGCAACAAGTTCGCTCTTCTTCTTCCTCTTTTTGCTGCTGCTATGGGAGCATAAACCTCAGTGTCGGAAATTTACCTGGGTACAGGGTATTACACTGTCGGGCTTGCTCGACTGTAGCGTTCTCTCTTGTTTACACTTAAGCTACGTTTTAAATCAGGGATAGCGAATAGTGTTTTTTTTTTTTAACAAAAAAATCATTCAACATTAGTAACTTTGAAAAAGCGAGGAATTTTCCAATATCATTTCTTAGTATTATCTATGCATTTACACCATGATTTAAAATTTTTAATTTTCATTCTCTCAAATTTTTTTTTTTTATTTATTATAATTTATTATTTAGTTTTTTTTTTGCTAAAAAATAATGAATATTAGTAAAGTTGTAAAGTAAAACTCAAAATTAATCATTATATTATAGGGAATGAATAAACTAAAAAAAGAATCATTTTTTTTGTTTAATGTTAACTAAATTACTGTCGGATTTTTTAGTGAGTGCGAGTGTATCAATAATCCACTCACCGATCTGTTAAAGGTGTGATGACCAAACGGTCTGTACATCCCAGATACTCATTTTGGTAGGTGAACGTAACATCCGTTACGGAAATCCAAGTCTTATCTAAATCTTCCTTGAAGTAAAAACGACACTGCTTCAGCCATTCGAAATCGTTTGCCGACTTGATGTTCATGCGGCACTGAAAGTTAAAAAAACAAATCGAACCCAAGCCCATGCGAGCATATTCAAAACAAGAGGGAGGACTTACCAAAATATCGAAAATATCGCGCTGGTGGACATGAATCGTGATCAAGGTTTCGAAATTCGTTCGCTCCATTTTTGTTAGATTCCGCGTTGTCTGATCTATAAGCGTATTAAGCATTTCTAAAAACTTATTGTTTGTCTCAGACATGACCTTCCTCTCATGCCTGGCCTGCATCAGCGCCATTTCTGCATCGCGCGTCCAAACCATTTGTATACCCAATAACCCGATTTGAGCTGGAACCTTTTCCAGAAAACCCAATAGCGTGAAATTTGGATCGTTTATTGTCGCATATGCGGTACGAATGATCGAATGCAGTGACTGCTGTGCTGTGACCAGCAATTGAGTTAGCCATGTCTCGACAGAACCCTCAGCTCGGATCGCTCGGTCTAACTGAATCATTTCGCCCTCACTCGATATAATCGCCATCATTTTATTATACTCAATATCGTGGAACTTAACGTGTCGCGTATTATCGAAGATCGAGAGCAAGTGATTTTGTATGGTGTGCGAATCGGAAGCTTGGCCCAGTATCTCGAGTAGAGCTGGATCTGACACGAAGAAGAAGCGTGGAAACATCATGCGCTTGCGTTCTAGGTATCCACTCAAGGATTTCTGACATATCTCCAGCTGCTCTTGCAAATGGGGAAGCAATTGCTTTAGCAAGTCGTCACCCACACAGCAAGCAACCACTCCCGGCGTCTCATGCGCCCGTTGCATTATCTTTTGCCAAGACTTGTCAATTTTCGAAAACCTTTTCGCCTCCTTCGGCAGTTGCTTCGCAATATCGCCACCCACAAACACGGCTTCCAGATACACCCACATATTTTGCACCAGAAGCCACCGCTCTAGTATTTCATTGGAGTTGGACAGATCGTAAACCCACTGTTGTATCTGCTTGCGGAACGGTGCATTGTATCGGTTGGAAAGCAGAGAGCCAAGTACCATTAGGCTGTCCTCCAGCTGTCCGATCGTTTCGGCAGTGGTGTCGCCCCGCAATAAGAGCTCTCCACGATTATTGAAGCTCATGAATTGTAATTCGTGGACTGACCACTCGTTTGTCACTTGCTTTAACTTGGCCTCTATATCCTTCTCTTTCATCGCGCTTATGCAAATGTCTTCGATGTCCTCCTTATGCTTCAATAGCGGCGCCTCCAATATGTTCTTAAGCGAGAAACCCTCCGAGTCGAACTCGAAGATGTAGCGAGTAACATCCATGATCCTTTGCCAATGGCGTGGTTTCATGGCTTTATTCGCCATCAACTCCAACAGGGGGCACATATCGTTAAAATCGTCGATGGTCTTCTTCAGAGCATGGAAAGCGGGCCACTCTTTAAGGCCCTTCGGTAGTTTGCGACAACGGTTTTGGAACTCCATTAACTCGTTGTTTATTTCTTCGATGTCGACTTCGCTCCACGGAATATCATAGTAGCTGCTGACACGATCAATCACGTCATTGTAGAGCTTGTACAGTTTTTGCAGCAAATTAAGTTCTTTTCGTATTTGACCTAGCTCTGGATAGTCTGTTTGAGGTAGACCGAAGAGTTCCTCGCCACTTTGATAAGTCTGTAAGCGACGCCACATTCCTTCAAAACGATTCTGGAAAAGTATCAACCGATCGGAGGCCTCCCGTGGTGTCAAACCGGCCTGCATGGGGCCTGCAGTACGATACTCCGTCACGTAGGATATTTTGTCCAGCTTGAAATTGTCCAAGTTAGTGCGCAAATCATCCTGGAAAGCCGGTTGCATTTCCAGTAGTTTCACTTGAGCCTTCAGGGCGCAAGCTAGCAGGTTCTGGAAAGTGATCCGTAGATTATCCACCAAGTCGAATTGTTCCCGATCGACTTGTACTTCGTAACGCGTGAGGATATTAAAAGCTTCCTGCAAAGGTACAATTTAATTTAAACTATACCTGCCTAATTATGTTTACTCACTTCTATTGGATCAATCCGTAACTCCATATCAACCTCTTGCTCGCGAATTTTTCCCAGTGTTTCCATTATCATACGCACATCGTCCAGGTCTCGTATGGGTCTATCCAGCTTACGATCCATTTCGTTTATGACAGCATAGACGTAATCCATTTCCTTCTTATACTTCTTCTTCATTGCCTGTCCGATTTTGTGATTGCATGCTGCAAAATAATAATTTAATAAACAAAAGACTTGTACACTTTTTTAAAAATCACGTATTTATCATTTTGCTTTTTATGGAGCAGTGTTCGTTATCGTATACAAAGAATAAGTGACTGACTGTAAGCTGGATCGGGCGGGATTAGGGTGGCAAGCAGCTGCAGATTTCCCAATTAGTTCCAATCGGTTAACTCTTAAAATGTTCGAAAGTTTTCGATACGTACCTCTATTATAAGTATTTTTTTTTATTTCCGGCTGCGTGCTTTCACGGCCCTTTCTACCATCTATTTAAATTCTTTAGGCGTGATTCTTAGTTAAAAATAAATAATAAACCCTACCCATTGCCCATCCTAGCCCATTACCAGCACGGCAGAGGACCTAACAGTATTTTTGGTATGATAAGCAACGAATTAACCGATTTAGATGAAATTTGAAACAATTATTATGGATTATTGTTATTATTATTATGTATAAATTATGTGTGCCAAGTTTGGTTAGGGTAGCTTTTGAAATGTGGTCGGTATTGACGAAATTCTGTATCGCGGGGAAGGGAGGGAAATTCAAAAAATAAAATAAACTCGTCCTTTCTCGGACCTAGGAGAATATGCATACCAACTTTGGTTGTTCCAGCTTTTATAGTTTCTGTGATCCTTGCGTTCATCCAGACAGACGGACGGGCAGACGGACGGACATTTCTAGATCGATTTCTCTCGCAATGCTGCACAAACCTAATATACCCTTTTAACCCTGCGGGTACAGGGGATAAAAATATTTCTTAAAGTATTCTCATATTATTATTGCTAGGTATATTGTAGTGTTTCCTTGGCTGACACCGACTCCAAAAATATCAATAATTCTACCTACAATATTGTAGAAGAATACACAATTATTTGTTTACTTTTTAGCGCATATTAATTTGAGTTACTTGTAGAATTGTTTGAAGTCGGTTTATGTTTTGTTAAAATTGTTGTTTATTAGGTTCAACCTTTTCCTGAGCTAACAACGCTACACAAGTAATTCAGAAAAATTTCGGAGGCAAGCTAGGCATGCTCATTCTTAACGTTAACATGAATAGTCCTAAATTGTAGGATCAAATGGATGCAGGCGCCGCATGAGAGGAAACCAGAACCAAATTCTGTTGTCAAATTATACACCTTTTAATTCTAGAAGTGAATTGCTCTGACAACGATAATTATGCTTATGATTACGTATATACATACCATTTTATATGGGTACATGGGGTAGGGAGCTGATGGAAATGAGACCTGCTAGGAGGTACATACTCGTCCATCCGTACTTACACAACGTTCACTTACATTTTATTTCGATCGCCAAACCATACTTGAGCCTTTCATTGTACACAGCAATGCACTGGCCAAAAATTTCCACGTCCGGCTCCATCAGTAGGTTTGTATCCAAATCAGAGAGACAACGCAGTGTAGATTCAAATTCCTGCAGCCCGAAGTCCATTAGTTGTCGCGTTGTGCGATCGTTTTTCCACAGGAAATGGTATGGTTTCCAGCGCTTGATATATGTTTGCATATCGGGCTTGATGTTTTTGGTGCAGCTCGACAACTGGTTGAAGGCTTTGGCCACCTCTTTGTTGTCCATAATAGCCGAATAAAACGACTTGAGCATGTGCGGCATCTGTGGCTTCTCCTCCGACGCTAGGCAATAGATCTTACGCCTACGATTCTTGTTGTTACCCTCATTGTGGTTCCGCCCAGTGCGCGGTTGCACCGTCATGGAGACTTGCTGTAGATGGAATGATATTTTAATGGCTATTGGTTATACAAGTATATAGATATTGAAATGCCAAATGGATTACGCACTGGTGGATCTTTGCCGCTGGACCATTGAGCCACACCCTTGGCAATTCCCGTTATATTCTTGCCCGCTGTTACCAAAATTTCTTGCAGCTCGTCCAAGTTGGGCTTTATTAGGACGTTCGGGATCTGCAAACTGGCATGGAGTGCGAAAATCGGCTTCTTTGTAGCTGTTTCGTTCTCGTCGGCTATGAAGCGGCGTCGAATTGTGTCCAATGCGGCGCGTATTACCTTAATCAGTACGTCGATTACCTTACGACTATAGTATCGGCGCATTTCGACGACAGCATTACACACCATGTCCTGAAACCAAGACGGAATAGAGCGGCATTGCCTTTTCGATTGGCTTTCAACACTCTGCTCAGCATACCTGCATTCCTTTCGGCAAGCTGTCTGTCGTTGTCAGTAGTATCAAAGGATTTTCAAAGCAGGACCATAATATGCTCCAGTCCTGTTGCTGTCCTCCTCCTCCACCACCTCCTCCTCCTCCACCACCGGCACCGCCACCGGAACTGCTGGCCGCTGCAGCTGTTGCATTAGCACCACCAGTTGCGTCATCCGTTTTTCGACCAGTTTGTTCAGCTATATGCAAATTGCCAAAATTAATTCAATTTTAATTAATAATTAGTATGAATACAATATTGCATACGTATACGTTTGCATGGGGTTTGGTTTTTGTGTGAAAAGCTCACAAATTCATTAATAACCTTGTCGCATTAATGCTCTGTACCTGAAAGATATAAGGCTATATTGGGTTTGTGAAAAGTTATAAAGCTAACAGACATAAGAAGGCAGACCCCATGAAGTACAATACATATATGTATGTGTATTGTACTTATATTCATATTAGCATAAGTCGAGCCTATTTAGCCCTAATTGTCTGTCCGTCCGTATGAGCACCTATATCTCAGTGTAAGAGCTCGAAACGCCGAATTTGGCCCACAAATACTAATAATACAAATACTTTGTGTGTAGAAGTGTATTAAAAATTGGCCTCCTTTCCTCTACCTTCCCACTATTAGTCATTTTCCATAACTCCCAAAATTCTTGGAATTTTAAATTTCGCAATTGCGTATGTCAAGTTTCATCGAGATATGTAATTTGTAAAGGAAGTTATAGCAATATATGTCATCTCTTCCCAAGCTTTGCCCACGACTGCTGTTGTTGTTGCTGCTTTGCTCAACTCTGTACTGCACACTTGCTCAGACTTGCTCACACACAAACACATACAGGCACAGACACGCATAGACCGCATAGTATAATTGATAGCAAATTTTTATTATCAATTTTCTTCATTTTATCCTATAATTCTTCTACACATAAGTACAGGCTACTTTTAAGTCGACTTAAGCTTTTTCACTTTTATCATCTCAATTTTTTAAATATTTCATAATGAGGCTGTATATTTAGCTGTTTGGAAGAGTTGGAATAATTCTGACTAACAGTAAAATGGTTTAAGAATATACCTTAATTAGTTTATTTTTGTTTATGTACTTAAATTAATAATTATACTCGAAGCATAATTAATAAGTATGACAGCACGCAGTCATCATGAATTTATTTTATTTATTAGCTTGAATATTTTAGGCCTCTGCAGAAATGTAGTACTCACCATCAAATAATGTAATCACATCGTTCCCAGCTATTTCCTTGAATACAACTGTGGCTTTGTCCACCAGACTTAAAATCTCTTCAACCGCCTCTGACACCATCTGGCTCTTACGATTAAGTTCGATAGCAGCTTTTCTGTTTTTCAAAGTAAAATTTTGCAAAATACGATTAATTGTAATTTTTGTAAATAAAACGAATGCCTGGCTCTTTGGTCGTCCAGACTATTGAGCCAATCGTTAGAATATGTCCTTCCAACCCCGATAGTATCTAAGTACGTGTTTGATATTTTTATATTCTGCACTCAAGGGCTAAAAGCCTGAGAAAGGACAGGTTTGCTATTTTTTCTGATGCACCCTCACACTCCCCCGCTATTAGTGATATTTCAGAACTTCCGTAATTATTGGAATTTCGAACTCAAATTTAAGACTCAAATGAACAGACATTGACGCAATCCCGATGAATACTATATTTGATGCTACTGGAGCATTACATATTCATACGATATGTGTTAAATTTAAATTAATTGTGAATGAATGAATCGAGTTAGTTTTCCATTATAAGACTTTACCGTTACCCTTCGCAACTATTGCATTAAAATATAAAGCGGACTATTTGTGACGTCACTATTGCACATTGAACCGTGATTCAATAAGCAATGTTGCTGGAAAAATGTTTAAGCACAACATCTGGGTGATCTGGTTGATAGAAAGATCAATTCACCTGCATGACTCTTCACTCTTTTCCAGAAATTCGTCCACCGTCCAAATCTCATCATCTGAGAATCATGGAACAAATCAGATAAGTCTATAAACGTGTCGAAAAAATAAATAACTGAACCTCCTGGTAGTATCTGCAGCGATACGTCCTGCATCCACATGAGTACGTTAAGTATGCGATTTGAGTAAATATCATGAACTCGGGCCACCAGAACTTCAAAGCTTTCAATAGCTTGCTTGCACCGGTCGTAGAATTGCGTCCAGTTGTGGTTAGTCCACTTGTTAAAAGAACAGATTGGGTTAGGAAATAACTAGCTAGTTTAATCCCATATTTACTTACGTTTATTTTTTGCAGTCCCGGATTGAGCATGGCTGTCAAACGAACCAGTTGAGGGAGAAATAATGGTCGTACCTCCAGTTTCACAGCTCGGACAGTTGAAAGAAACATTTTGACAAGACTCTGTGGGACAAGGAAGTATTATAAAGTATCTAAGCAAAGGAGTGGCATGCTCACATTTAAAGAGTCTTGAATGGTAATGAAGAGCTCCTGTCGGCTCATTAGAGTCGCCGCAACAATCGGCAGCTCAATGTTCAGCTTTGCCAGCATTTTTGCCTCTCGTATAAGCAATGGAATAGTGGGGTGGAGATTGACAAAAAGCCGATCCCCCTGCATACAAAGAAGGGGCTGCAGCAAACACGCATCCGCAACGCTTACATCCTGGTCCAACCATATAGTCACAATTTCATCTTCATATTCCCGCAACACAGTCTTCACATTATTGAAGCGCGCATCCAGATCCCTGGCTATAGGCAAATTGTTCAGCACCGGATGGTCCATGACGGCGTCCACCAGCTCGTTCATATGCAAGTTCAAGGCCCGACACCAATGAATACGCCCCGCGATAGGCGGGAAGTTGCGCGCCAACGGCGGATCGTCCCGCTGCTTCCGGAACGTCTTTAAAACACGGTCCACCTCCTTTTCCGCATAGCGCATAACACGCATGTACTTCTCGTCCATTTTTGTCAAAGGTATTTTTTCGCTCACCTGTGATGAAATAACAGATACAATATAAGTATTATATATGAAAAGTGTATGTGTTTGTGTGATGTGCCTTGGCGCGTTCTTTTATCTTAAAGTTAATTTCTAGTAAAGCTCAGAAGTACACAAAACAATCATAATCAGACGCAGATTAAAATATTAATGCTACAAAATATAGTTAAAGTGATATTATAAAAATCCAAACTTTGATTTGATGAGTGATCGCGTCCAATTTATTTCTAAGATTGGTATTAGTATTTAGCACTTTCTATGGGTATAGAAGACTTTATTAGTGATAATGTCAACTATTGCCTTTGAAGTTTTATTTTAGCAGAAATTTCACTAAAGAATGTTATTTATCATCTTCACAGACCTTGTATGTTCATTTTTCTTAAAAAAAACGCATTCAATACGTTTATCTTTCAAGTTCAAAGTACCTTAGTACTGTACTTTGAGTTTTCCCGGCTGTGCTTAGGGCTATTACTGGGAACGACGACTTAAGTTTTATCCCAACGATTCAATCGGAACTGCCGTTATGAGGCAACGCTCCCACTGTACTGTGACCGGCCTTACTTAGAACCAAACAACAGTTTTAAGTAGCCAATATCTAAATTCATCCAGGCTTCTGGTTGGATCTTAGATATGTGCAGACGACGCAGGGATACCAGGAGTAGACGGTTATTGGAACAGCGCACACGGGATCACAATGGTCCAAGCTTGGCCCTCAATGACTCAGGGATACAACCTTGACTTCCGCGACAATCTAACCACCATTTGCTTAATCTCCCTTTCTCTTTTAATATTTTTCAAGCTCCTGTTTGTCCATCCGCCTGGAAGAACGCAAAACCTTGGAAAGACCAAGAGGATTACCAAACTTGGTATCCACATTCCCCTATACCCTAGGCAGATCGAGTTTGTTTATCTGTTAGATCTTAGTTTTTCCACTTGTATTTAAAATTGTTTTACTGACGACAGATCACGTTCTTATTTTAATACCCTGCACCCCAAGATAAAGGGTATGCTAGTTTAGTGCGAGATACATGTAACACACAGACGGAGGCATGACAGACCCTACAAAGTATTTATATTATTGATCAGTATGAGAAGACGGGTTGATATAGAATTATCCGTTTGTCCGTTTATCTTGTCACATTCTCACATACTTATATATGCCGATAATGAAAGGCTTATCTCTCGTAGAAAGATCATCTGTATCATGGAAGAGGACTTGAACTACATGCAGCGGTGGTGCTTCCTAAACCATTTGGACCTTTACTGCTCTTAGTGTTAGCTCTGGCATTTTTATAGGACCATCTCACATCTCTACTTTCGTAAACAAGACTGAGGGTCCTTTGAAATTCTTCAAATGTTGCTCTAAGGAATTAAATGATCTCTATACCACTGAACTTCTGTACAACTCATTTGGAGCTCAATATCTTGATATTTAAAACATGAAAATAAAAACATTTACCCACCCGCCTGATTTTAAAACCACATTTTGGATCTTTTACTGTACCTATTGGGTCATCCACGATTACGTACCGTAAAGCAGAGTGGTTCCAATTTATTTATTACCAACAACACTTTTCGTACAGTAACTCGTTTTAGCATGGTCGGACTCGACATATTACTTGTATATTTGTCCGTCAAAAAGAAGTCCCCGTAAAATATCTCCGTACGATAGCTCTAAAGCTATGGGAGGCATAGTGATTGAAATACGCTTACACTTTTCAGTAAAAGATATGACTACAAAATGTAGTGCAATTTTTCGATTTGCAGCCTAGTTAAGTGCTATAAATAGTACAAGTACAAGTAATATTCGCTCACCTTTTCGAAGCGCCCAAGAAATCGAATGCACTGAGGCGTTTCCCAAACAGATTCGAAGTTCGTTTCAATCAGCATGGCAATTGTGTCCTTAAGGGTACAAGTTTTGTTAATGAAGCGGTCAAAATCGTCGTTGAAGTCCATATTCCGATGATCCAGATAGTCATACTTCTTAGATGTCACCTCTTTCTTGGCCTCTTCAAAATGGTTAGAGGCCTCCTCGAGAGCCTCGCCCAGCAACAGTCCTTCTAGGCGTCGCTCAAAGAGGTGATTGTAGTCGTCGATCAGATTAAACATATTTATTATCTTCGACAAGCGCTCACAAAAGGTATCAAATTTGCCTAAAAAGTTCAGATAATTAGCTATTAGAGTTTAAATTTAAACAATCAGGTACCGCACCGAAAACGAAATTTTCTGAAAATCCAAAGGGTGTCTGGTCTGGTAGAAAGGGTTGTCCCCGCACGGTGTAATAGGTTTCATGGTATATATGATTCAACTTGATGCAGTTGCTCAATTTGGTGCGAATCAAGTTGCGATCCTGGGACCAGATCGTCTCCTTGCACCGGCAGGTGATATACGATTTACAAGTTTCGATCATTTGATTTGTGATCTGCAAGAAAGTTGGCATAACTTTTATTTACATTCAAATTCAAAAACGGAATCTAGAGGGTAAGTCTGTCGCAAGTGATAGCTATTATTTGTGGTGGACAATGTATTGTACTTGCTTTGCTATATTATATATTTTAATACCCTTAATCCGAAGAGTATGAATAACACATCCTATTGAAGTAAAACTTCCTACGTGAGGGTTTTAAATGCTGGATCGGCAACCTTTTCTGTAACGAAACCAATAGCACTGTAACAGACGCACTAAAGTGAACAGCAAGTAGAAGAACAGCTGACAACATTTAAATTATGAATGTAAACATAAGCCTAACGGTACAATCTGAAATGTAAGCATAATTGATGGTCTTCCTTTGGCATATATCCCCAACAAATCGCTGCACCTTATTTATTGTAAAAGGCAGCAGTTGATTAACCCTCTGTTTATTTATACCCACCTGGTAGGTCTTGATTTGTAGGAGTCTTCGTTTCTTGTGATTTTCGGCGGACTAAAGATATATTTGTAATGGAAAAAGAACTGCGTTTTCTGAGGCTCTTGAATGCTGGATCGGCAACTAGCAGTAACGGCGGATTTTCTATCAATTTTTTAGCTTGTTTTGTAACTATTTATAGCGGTGTTTCCAGTCATTTTCTTCATATTCTATCCATTTTTAGCTGGGTTTTCTAACCATTTATAATGAGTTTTCTAGACTTCCTTGCTATTTATATCGGATTTTATAGCCATGTTGCAAGTTTTCTAGCTGTTATCGACCCATTTTTGAGCTATTTTCTACCTACTTTTAGCCATGTTTCTAGCCTTTTTCTTCGAAAACCAATAGCGATAACCGTCTTCTAGCTATGCATTTAAAGCCAAATGTACATTAACCATCAATTATTTTTGAGTGATATAACAAAAATTAACTTATCACTTCTACAACCAATGGATCAGGATATAATTTGCTTTTTCAAGATCTACACACTATATCAGGAGCACTATACAGTTTAACTTAACACATTTTCTCTTTATTTTTTAGAAACGTTTTTACGGAAATTTAACCTTCTTCGTATTCATTTTTTCTGCTACCAAAAATTGTTGTGGAACAAGGATATCTGATCGCCCAGCTATGCAACCGTCGCACTCACCTTCACCATTAGCGCCGAAGTCCGTTCTGAAGTGTTGTAGAACTGCGAGACACTGTAGATGAGGCGCACAGTTTGCAGGAGACTCAGTATGGACTCCTTCATACTGACGGGATCGTCCAAATACAAAGAATGGCAGCAGGTCTCCATGGCCTGAATAAACTTCGAGTTGTCGCGCGCTTCATTGTAGCAGAAGGTGATCTTGCGGTCAGTTTCCTTCCAATAGCGCATCACTCGGGACCCAGCCAGGAAGAGGCAGTGCAGTGTAAATTGCACCTCCTTGTCCTGCAAATGAGCCAAGAGCTGGGAGAATTGGGCTCCACGTTTTTTCCAATATTCCAGCTCGTCCTGCGGCCCACTATAGTCGTTCTCCTTTCGCAGTTGCTCGCTCTCTCCCAGTATTTTCAATATACCTTTCATCCAGTTATTTACTCGCTCTTCGAGCTGCGCGCAGAATTCTTGATTTTTTGCCATATCCTTGACTTCGTCGATCAAATCTATCTTCTCGAACATATCGCATTTGTCATCGAAGACATTATGATGGTCACAGACTTGCTCACAAACTCGCAGAGCACTACAGAACGATCGAAGTCCAGGCAATAGTTGACCCTTGATGAGACCGCAGCTGACGTCTTCCTCGTCAGCCTCCAGACTGGGAAAGGCCAAGGCCTGCATGAATACATATTCGACTATGCGCTCAATAGATGCAACCAAGCCAATATTTTTCGCATCAATAACACCGCAGTATCTGAAAGAAATCAAAAATTAATGCTTCAACCTCATTTAGAGGAGCCACTTTTTATGCCCCATAAAGGATTTAAAGGGTATATTGGGTTTGGGCAAAGTATGTAACCGCCTAAAATATAAACTTGTATATTCTTAACCAGCATGACGAGACGAATCGATGTCTGTTCGCCCGTCTGCCAATTTCACTCTACTACAATTTTGACTCAAAATAACATTTAAGAAAACATACTACGCCGGATTGTCCCTAATATTGTGTTCCCATACAAAGGGATTTTGAAAGATTGTCCTCTAAATTTCTCACTTCTTTGCAACCAACATGAAATTATTTTCGTCCTTCTTACTTCAGTTATAATGATCTTTCCCCCTGCTTTGAAACAAACTTTCTTCGTCCTCTAAAAGCTTATCTTTTTATCTGTCTCCGGAATATAACATATCTGAAAAAATATATCTGATATCCATTTCAATTAGGTCTATTTAATGCTATCAGAATGTGAAAAGTTAATTTCTTCCACGCTTGGAAGAAATACTTTAATATATTACCTTGAATTGGTTATTTTCACTTTGAAAGATCTTAAGGAACCAACGGATGTTGGAAGAAGTTATGGTCAGCGGTTGAAGGTGTAGAATTCGAAGACATGGCTATCGATAGCGATGACGTATTATTAGTTGAAATACAAGTAGTTGTGAATGGAGCCAGCAACTTAAAATAGGATATCAACAACCATAAATCGATTAACCATAAAAATACTTCAATCAGGATTTTGGAATCGTATATTCTAATCCACTCCTCGAATATGAGAAGAAAAGCACAAACAAACACGTTTAACGATAAATGTTGAAGTTTTAAAAGGCCCTTATGTGGGGACATTTATACCAATTTGTAAATGTTAAACATTTAACACTGAATTAACTATTTGATAATTTAGATAATATGTTTAAATACAGGAACACAGCCCCACATGTTGTGTTTAACACGATTTCGCTTAGAACGAGATCTTCTAGAAACGCAAACCCCCGCTGTCTTCGCCACTAGGTGGACTCTCCTCCAAGCTGAAACAAACAAACAAACATTGCACTTTCAACTCACAGGTCCTTCTGAAATCCTTCTTCGGGAAGCTGCTTGGAGGTATTTACGCGAAATATATAGATGCACACTCCGGTGAAAGCGCAGGTCCATCCATCCGTGAGAAACAATTTCTTTTGCTTTTGTGAAGGCAATCCATTGGGCGAGGCACCGCCTGCAAGTGCATGAAAAGCGGATGAATTCTTATCAAATTTGTTTGAAATAAAGCAAAGAAGGAGCAGGAGAACCCACCCTGCGGTGTCTTGGAGCTGCTTGATGCCATGCCCGAGCGCGATGTGCCCGGCTTGGCGTCCAGAACTGGCTGTGGCTCCTGTCCGTCCACTTCCTGATAGAACCAGAGCAGCTTGTTCTTCATGTTCGGTAGGAAGAGCTGATTGATTTCGTCCAGCTGGCAAAGAGCAAGGAGCACTTTAGGAGGAAACCCTATTTTATGGAGTGTGCGAGCACAGCTTTACGATACCATGTCCCCTTCAAATATGTAATCCATGAGCTGGTGCCTGGGCAGTTGTGTGGCATCAATCAGCAGCTGGAACGTGAACTCCAATCGGGGGTCCATTTCCCCACGCCGAGCCTTGCGTTCGCATTCTTCCCGTCGTCGCTGTGACTCGTCCGTGTCCATATCGTTGAGAGTTTATTGATTTGGTTTGAATGTATATATGTATATGTATATATAGTATATATACGAGTATTGGTAGTGTTTTACATTCGGAATGCCGATGACCATTAAATGAATTTTATTCACACCACCCGCATGTCCATTTGGGTTTCAAAACATGTGAATAAACGTTTTCATGTGCAGTAGAGTATTATTTATTTTATTTCGAATGATGTAATAGTATTTGCGATTATTGGTGTACAAGTTATTATTGGTTTATAATTGTTATTTGTGTTATTGGTTTGCGTTTTTATTCAATTTGGGAATTTTTAGCAATAAGCAAAATTCAAAAGAGGAAAGACCAAAAATATGTTAGTTTAAAAATAGTCTCATTCGGGCAGAACTTGTTGTTGAAAATACAAACAACATTGCAAAATACAAAAGCCACAACAAGTACTGTCGAACTACTTTACCGTGTTTTGTCATTTGGGTGCAGCTAAAACCAAAAACAAATACGTATCTCTATATCTAATCTACTTGTAGAACTGAAAATGTTTGGAAAGTGTTGTGACAATTGTTTTTGTTTTTGCTGCAAAGAGAGTGGAGTTTAAAAATGCGTCAAACAATGTTGTTGCTCAGCTATAAAGAAATGAAAACACATTAATTACTTAAACATTTAATTGTTCGTTTGAGATACAGGCTGTTTGTTTGTATGTTAGTTATGTCCTTATTTATAAAAATTTTCCAACTACAACAAATAGTTGTGTTATGTAACGCATTTACTAAATCAGTAAGAAGAAAACAGAATTAATATTGACTTTTCAAATGTAACAATTCGATCAACTATTGCATAATCAACGAGCTAATATAAAGGTATTACATTTGCTTAATTGTTGCTGCCTATGAAATCAAGAGACAGTTATACATGTACTGTACATAGTTAAGAATCTTGCATTGCATTAAATTGTACATTACTTCGATTCTTCGGCATACTTTATCAATATTTTCACCTGCAAAATGTCTCCCTCGTCCTCCTCCTCCTCGTCGCTGCTGGAGTCGCCTCCACCGCGCATTGCCAGGACATGTTCGACAAGCTTTCTTTTTTGTACAAACATCTCACGTTAACCACTAAGTACTACACACTATGGGAACTCTAATAGTTTTTCATATGTCAATTTATTTATATATTTACTATCTCTACACAAATTCCGATGAGGTCGTGCAAATCATTTGCACGTTTGAAACTAAATCAGATATTTATTGAACAAACAAGCTCGCTACTAATACTCGTATGGAATAGGTTTCCTTTCTTTTAGATAGTCGTCATGACAACGTACTATACTTTTTGTTACTAAAATGTTTATTTCTTCATAATTCCTCAAGGAGCAACATTGTTTTCAAAATATACATTCCTTATATTCAAAATTAAATATAAAATGCTTCAATTACCTCAACATCATACTTTACATTCAAATTAATTCATGAAAAACGCAAATTTTGGATGATCCTAATAATAAATGTGTTTAAAAAACCAAGTAAATATCACTGAAATGTTAGAGTTAGGACTCCATCTGTTATTATATATACCCGCCAATATTCTGGCTCACCTTAACCAATTTTCCGAGCATAGATAATATCAATTTCCAATAAGTTTCTATTCAAATATTTTACTAAACTTGTACACACCTAATTCTGTTTTTACCCGGTTTTTTTTAACACGGTTTGAAAATTGAAAATAAATAAAAAAAAACACACATTCTTATATGGGTCGTTATGCACATTATATATGTGATTTAATAAAATAAACATAAATCCTTGTTTTTTTCACAGATTTCAACAGGTTTTAGAGACAAGGAACCAATCACCTATTTTTGAATGTTTTACACGGTTTTTTCACGACTTTTTCTGGAACCAATCGTGTAAAAAACAGAATTTGGTGAATATTCCATACAAACCTAGCAAACCGGCTTTGAGGGATATCCATCCGATGTAGGTCCACACCTAATCCCTAGAGATTGAATTGGCTACTCAAGGACGTCCCAGTTATGCTCTTGAATCCATTACACACCAATCTTGATAAATGCTTTGGATCATAAGACTGCTGAAATTTCAGTAAAAGTACCATTTTAAAACTTTGCCTACAAATCTATTGATATTGCCATTAATCCGATGTATTGGACCAATACTTGTACCTTGCCATGAAAAGCAATAACATGAAATTCTTTGCCTTTAGCAAGCAAATTCATCTTTGATTCGTAAGAAGGTAAGAACATTTTGAGGGCATTTGTAACGAAATTTTGTGACCGTTCCAACAACGTTGTCATGAATTAGCAACTTTTTCTTTGATATCGAAGCCTTAAAACAATTCTTGAACATAGATAATATCTTATCTTATTGCCGCTAAAGTTTTAACCCACGCACCTATTTTATTGGTCAGCTCAATTTAGAATCTAACCAAATGAACAAGCCTCAATTTTTACCGGCTAGTCAAAATATTGCAGAAGTCCACAAATTACATTCCAAAACCCTGAACGATATCGACATGTTACAAATTTTCAAAGACCTTTTCTATGCTGTGGGCTGTGAAGCACTAGACAGACATTTTGAAGGCCTTTGCCAACCCATTCTTCTGATGCTTAAGTCCACCGTGCGTCCTTGATTCATTTGGAATTGATTGATATAAAAATGTCTTTACCCAAGGTAAAAGAGCGTGCAAGAAAAGTGCGGAAGTGTAATACGCGATTCCGGTTCGGCCTTGGTGCCAACATTTTTTACCAGAAAGTAAACAACAACTCGTGTATGAGTTGATGCAACAATGTCCGCGAACTAATGAAGGCAAGGCCGCAGATTCAGCAAAATAACTCAAAGTGTACTCGTATATAGGTTGATCTACAGGCTGCCCTTTAAAAATGAGACAGCAGCCCCTCATTGTTATAGGGGAAGGACGTAGAGGCAATAAAATGCTTGCTTCCCAGCTGCGACATCAAATTTCTTTACAAATCTTCATCGCTGTGTGGTGCTGTAACGGTCGATAAGCAGTTCGTAAGTACAGACGAAAACCAAGCAAGCAGCTCATACCTGAGAAAGTCCCGACAAACACCAGCCAAGCAGTGAAAAAAACAGTCAAAAAAGCGGATTGCTGAGTGTGCACACAAGAGCTTAGATTTTGAATGCAATTAATTTTTATAGTCATAAATAATGACTCAATTTTTGTAGCCAAGGATACTTTCAGATATCATTGTTTAGATTTATACAAGAGAAAGACGTTTACTTGCACAAGTCATTCTAATAAGGAACGGTGGATAACAGATGTCGAAGATGTAGCCAAAACAGTAGAATGTGATGAACTCAAAAAATATATACACTTAATACTTGTATATATACATTTAATTAATTGGGTCCAGAAAAAAGGTGTAAAAAACGAGTAGAAAAACACATACATGTGTAGATCATATTGAAAATAAGTGATATTAAGAAGATCCCGCTGGCATTATTGAGTTTTAGTCGGTTGGAAAATACTTACACATAACAGTCCGTGAACCTGGACATCAAGCACTTACGAAGCATAGACAATGACTATACGGAATTTCACAGCTGAGCTAAGAGTCGATGACTTGAGTTTCGTTTTACCTTTAACGGGTTAACAGATCGCCCTGAACTTCAGTGCTATATTTGAAAACAATTTGGTAAGGCCTGTTGACAGAAAGGATCAACCTTAAGCGTTGGATTAAAAAGGCAACATTCTATCAATATATCAACGCAATGCTAAGGTGAATTGTGCTGGCGAAGAAAGTAATTATTTACATGGATGCCATCATGGCCGTAGCGAGGGGGTGCAAAGCAGGCAGCTCCTAAGATCCTGAACGGACCAAAAATTTTGCAGACAAATTTGAATCACGAAAAAATACATCCATTTTATGGCTACGGTTAATTTATCAGCTAGATTGCTATGAAGATATAATGTTGAGAATATATACCTATATATATATGGGCATGAAAATATTGTGTTAATATGCTCAACTTACAAGTATAACTCTTTACTAGCCCTATATTTAGTGCTAAGGTTGATTTTAGGCAACGGGACAAACGGGGCAAATAAGTTGTTTTTCCGGCCAACAGTTCGCTGATTTTATCGAAACCTGAGGCAATATATATTAATGCGACTAATTTTAAAACGTTGTGCATTATTGTCTCTTAAAAATAGTTTTGGTATAACAGTTCAGAAAATGCAGTTTCAGTTCTGAACTGTCGAAACAAAATGATTTTAGATTTCTTTATCTGCCATAACGTTCTTTTGATAACTGCCCCGACCCCAGATACGGCTCCCATTCTATTTTAGCTTCTTTTTAGAAAATTAACTGGAGTTGATACTATAAATTGATTTTCAAACTGAGAGCAGCACCCATTAGAAAAATTACATATTTTTCTAACCGTTTGCACGCCACTTTATTTTTTTCGCAGCCGGTGTTATTCATCTAGATTTCAATCATTTTAAAGTATGTACACGTATGTACTTGTATATACGAGTATATAAAAATTTATCATTTATGTAAGAAAACATAATTTCAAATTCTTAAATTTTACACTCTCGATGTCGCACGGGACCAAATTTATATTAGTTCCACGATCACAAATCTTCTTATTTTTTACCAAGTTTTTTTACGTTTTATTGCATTCGAAATTTAAAATTTTCATTATTTTGAATTTCTTTTTCCCTATTTTTCCATATTTTTCATGTGTTTTTTGTATAGTGGAAATAATTTGATAGTAAAAAATCGGCCAAAAAAATTGTGCAATCTTTAGCTAGTGTTTTAAATAATGGTTGTCGTACTAGTTCACAAGTAGTGCGCGGTACTGAAGGGTAGTACGAAGTATTCATGTAAATATGCACTGGCGGTGAAATTAATCAAATTACTGTGTATAATAAGCTTATCCATTGAATAAACGTATTTTACTTAATTATATACTCATACTTATTTATGTTTTCGGATTAATAGATACATTTTTATAAGTTTTTATTTGTAACAAGAAAGGAATGCTAGAGTCAAGCAGGTTCAACTCCCATATACGCTGTACCCACTCCCACAAAAAAGAAAAAATTAAAAAATAATATTTAATAATATTTAAAAAATGAATTTAAATAACATTAAATTAATTAACAAGATAGAACACTACAGTCGAGAAAGCCCGACGGTAAAATACTCTGTATTTAAAACAATACAAATTTAAAAACATTATCAGTTAATTAATTAAATTAAATTAAACATTTACATCAGAATCTTGTCTCTGCGTGTTTATATGCGTGTATGCCATGCATTACAAAATTGAACCAGAGACTAAATACATATGTATTTGGCCTTAACTTCTTTTAAAATTGACCTATTATGATGAAACTTGGCTTACCTACACATAATCACTAACTGGATGTAATTACCAAATTTTAAGTTGGTTAAAAATTTTACAATAAATCCCTAACTCGTCCTTTCTCGGACTTAGGAGAATCTGGATGCCAAATTTGGTTTTTCTAGCTGAGATCCTTGCGTTCATACAGACTGACAGACAGACAGACAGACGGACATGGCTATATTGACTCGTCTTATCATCCTGATCAAGAATATGTATATGTACATACATACTTTGTGGGGTCTGCCACGCCTCCTTCTGTGTGTTACATACATTCGCACAAAACTAGTACACCTAATTCTGTTTTTATACGGTTTGAAAATTAACAAGAGAGAACGCTACAGTCGAGCAAGCCCGACAGTGTAATACCCTGTACCCAGGTAAACTTCCGTCACTGAGTTATATGCGCTCAAAGCAGCAGCAAAAAGAGGAAGAAGAAGAGCGATCTTGTTGCTGCAGTTTGGGGGGGTTGTACTGGCCAGAATTTGTTTCGCTAATAACTTTTCTTAGAATTGACCGAATTAGATCAAATTTAAACCAAAAGTAGACTATTGTATATAGATTGCCTGTACCCGTAGGGTAAAAAGGGTATATTAGGTTTGTGCAAAGTATGTAACATGAAGAAGGAAGCATCTCCGACCCCATAAAGTATATATATTCTGAATCAGTATGACGAGAGAAATCGATCTAGACATGTCCGTCCGTCTGTCCG